GAGGTGCCGATTGAGTGGCACGAAGTTGAGGCAGCAAGTTGAACGTGGTGACGGCGTCATTGCAGATGCTGAGGGATCTGCTTATCGTCCGTGCCAACCATGTTCTTGGACGATGGAAAGCCGTTGGCCCAGAACCCAAGCTGCCGAAACCGTAGCAGGTCTTTACATGATCGCCGTCAGTGTAATGCATAGTTGTAAGTATCTAATCCTAGCCTCGGATCTCGATATTAGCTCGGAGCGCCGATCGATTACCTAAGGCGCTTCCCACCTCCGTCCCACCGCTCTGGCGCAGGTTGTGTTCGTGCGCTTTCATGTACTGATGGTGACTACTTATGGCCAAACCTCATCCCAGGATCCGGGAAGATGGCCAAAATTTTATTCATTTGAGTGACCGGCCTGCCAAGCACGGCCCCCCGGCTTGCTGATCGCATAGCTCCGCGCAATAAAGGGCGATGACCCGTTATACTTAAGAGGGCACCGGCCGAATCATGGGCACTGCATCTACCAGGTCCCCGCGCTCTGTATTTACGTCCGACAAGGTAGTGATCTTTCCCCCAATCCCAATTCCGCTGATTCATTTGGCACGCACTTTGCAGAGCCAGGTCCTGAATCATGAGGTCCCCCGACGACTGCACTCTGTCTATCCCTCCCGAACTGCTTTCCCGGGTGTTCCAGCTCGCTCAACATGTGCCGCTTGGGTCGGACTGGGGTGACCGGAAACGGCCCCTAGAAATGGTCGTCTCGCATGTCAGTGGGTTTTGGCGAGACGTCGCGCTAGGCACGGGACTACTTTGGCAGCAGATTAGGGTCGAGCCGGAGTGCTCGATGGACAGATTGCGTTTATATCTTTCGCGCTCGGGCCCTCAGACTCCGCTGCACCTGCATTTAAATCTCACGCCCCGCGCGCCGCACGGGCCCGAAACTCTCGCAGAGAAGCTGGATCTGGTGTTTCAGCACCTGCATCGGTGGCAGCGGGTGACAGTCCACGCGCAGATCGAGTGTGCGGAGGCCCCCTTCATCGGGCGCCTGTACGACCAGGCGGCACCCATGCTGGAGTGGCTGGGCCTTTGTGTCCATGATGTCGACGCGCCAACGCTCCGGACACTACGCCGCTCTGATCTGGAGCAGATCTTGACGCGTGGATGTCCTCGACTGTCGGTTGTTCGCCTTCGCGGGCTGTCGATGCACTTTTTCCGGCCCCCGCTGTCTACGATAACGACTCTCCATCTGGAACAGACCCGCGACATCGTCTTGGGCTTCGAGGGGTTCAAGAATCTCGTGAGCGCGGCGCCGATGCTGACTCATCTTTCCATCCACGACAACATTGTGAACGACCTGTACGAGGAGCGGTGGCCGTTCCATCGCGTGAGCAGCGTTATCGCACATTCCCTGATCTCGCTTCGGCTATCCATCCCGGCCACGCTGCAGGGTGTCTTCAGCGGTGTGCTCATCACACTCGATGCGCCTAATCTAGCGACACTCATCCTGAAGGAACCTACGCACGGGGACCTCGACGAATTCATCTCCATGCCTGGAGCGTCCACGAAATTCCCTGCTCTGCGCTCGCTGACGTTCTATGACTTCGACTGCAATTCGGTTGACGATCTGTGCCAGCTTTGCGCCGTCTTTCCCCTAGTGGAGGAGTTCACACTGATACACAACACGGTGGAAGTTCCGTCGGTCTTGCTGATGCTGGCTGATGAGGGGGGACGACATCCGGAACCGTGGCCCGCGCTCAACGCTTTACACATAACGCTGGACGCGAACGATCTCCCCTTGGTTCGGGACGCGGTGGACCGCCGCCGGAAAGTCGGACGCCCCCTCGAGGTGCTGCGCCTGTCGCCGAGTATATTTGAAGACGCAGAGGATGGGGATCTGGATGCGCAGGACGTCCTGGATTGGCTGTGTGCCAATGTTCGGGTGGTGGAGCCGCTCATATCGATCGAACGATGGCCACCGGGCAGTAACGAAGACGATCCTGACGACACACTCTTCTCATGAAACCTTGTGTCCAGACCAAAAGTTGTCCGTCTTGTATAGTGGCTTCATGTAGGCAACGATTACACTAGAAACGACATCTCTACCGGCCGTTGGTAGGAGAGACTACCCAGACAGCATTGAAAGAGGTTGCGCCCCCAGCTGATTCAGCCCAGGCCGCCTAGTAGAACAGGTCAGATAACATTGCAATGTAATCCCTGGCTCCGACACGCACCGGACCCAATCCCAGGGTGCTGTCCGGAGACACGCCAACGGCGTATGCAGTGTACGACGTGCTCGAGTCCACTTGGTTCAGGTAGAAGACTGCAGAGCCACAGTTCGCAAGAGGCTGTGCAGGCGTATTGAATAGGTTGCTTGCTTTGCTCGAGATGATTATCAGCCACTCACCAGACCAGGAACGACGACGTAGTTTCCGTTGGCGAGAACATTTTTGACGATGTTGACTCGGTTTGCAGGAACCCCGGCGCCGAGACAGGGAAGCTGTAGAAGGACATTGTCAGTCTAAGCCAGTAGCAGCCCGTCGATTACACACAGAAGTCGTGTCGGTGATAGTGTATGTGACAGCGGTGCCGTGGATCTGCTGGGCCAGAGCACCCCCCACAATCGTAGCCAGAGCAAGGAAAGATTTGAAGTTCATTGCGGGTCGAGGAGAGTTCACGATTGTGTGTTGGCTCACAACTTTCTTTCGCCTTTATATACCCTGTAAACGACGCGAAACGTAAAGGCCTGATTGCTCTGGGGAGATCATCCCTGCGCATCCACGCTTCCATTCAGTACTCATTCGGTTCTACTTTATCAAGCGAGGATGGCTATTCATATTCATCAGATGCGCTACGCAGCTGATGGCGCGATTTGTGAAGAATTTCAAGGGGAAGTGAGTAATCTGGGTCAGGTCTCGGTTCATCTCAAACGCATAAAACTGGTATTCATCTTGGGGAGGTAACATTGGAAAAGGAGAAATCGCGCATCGTGAGATGCAATCGAACAGTTTCAGGTGACACTCAGAGTCTGCCGAGACCGGGGGAGGTCACTACCGGTGTGTACTGGAGCAAGTTCCAAGTGAATGGCCCAGGGATGATTCAAGTGATGTGACCTCAACTTGATTTCGGAAATGGCTCCTTAACAACCATTCATTTCGGTTGACCCACACGTTCCATGTGCCTGAGTTCCTGTCCTATCTCACGAATGATGTCTGGCTGGTTGGGGTCAATTAACCAAGAGGGAAGGTTTCAACAAGTCACATGACCGCGTCAACGGTTTCCCACGCATCATTCCAAACAACCTGCTGTAGTCCACCGTGTTCGACGACGGCACGATGTCGCGCACGCCTTCAAGAGGCGTACACTGGGGGATCGAACCGCCCAGTTTCGACTCGCCGTCTTCAGAAGCATCGACGTCCTTCGTCCCGACTTCGAGTCTCGATTACATCAACTCGCAGCTGGTCGCACACGGCTTCGCTCCCTCGCCCGGGCTCGCCCTCGACGGAATTTCATCTACCAATTTGGAGAGGACGGTCAAGTGTCTTCTAGGTCTGCTGAGCACACGCGTGGTCAGTGTAACTCTGATGCGCTATTGCTCCCCGTTCACCGTGCCACAGAGCGATATGGAACGCTTAGAAGACCTAACGACACGACTGCGGACGCTCACATACGACCACGAGAGGCTGCGGGAGATGCATAGACTGGCTGCGGAGACTGCAGCGAACGCCGAACGAGAAGCGAATCTGCACAAGTCGCGATTAACGTGCGTGATTCGTCTCGCGTCCTTAATCCAGTTATTTACTTTCTTTTGACAGGGCGTCGACACGAACATTCCAAGCACTAGAAACTACGCAGAAACAGACATCCGGCGAACTGCAGCGCATGCGTACCGCACTGCAAGCTGTCCGTTCGGCGCATCAAGCCGAGCTGAAGAAGAAGGACAAGGATGTCGAACGCATGGCCGAGCGGTGGAACAAGCTCGCTGACATTCAGTCCAAGGTGGCAGGATCGTCGAGCGGGCTGCGTTGTTCCAATCTCATTGTTGTCGAGAATGGCAGTGTCAGTGAGAGGGGTCGCGGATCAGGAGTCGTTGAGACGGCCTTGCAGCAATCCGAAGAGACACGCCGGATCTTGGGAGAAGAGAACGCCAAGCTTCGAGGACTTCTCCTTGGTGCCGTGAATCAAGCACAGACGATGCTACATCAGGCCCGGGTCTCAGAGGAGCCGGAAGCTGAGGTGTGTGCAAGTCGTGTTCTTCCTTGCGGACATTGATATGTCTCCCATAGCCGACGCCTTTCACAGCGCAGACTCTCTTCCCGATGGCCTCTCCGGATGCTGCTACCGATAAATTGAGTGCATTACTGGGTGGTCTAAGAGAGGCAGTGATGCGTCCGTTTACAAGTGCACCTATCATTGCATCGTCTACGAATAGCACCGGCACGTCCTCGGAAACAGAAGCTGCCAGACTGACAGCTGTTATCGATGGACTTCGGACTGAGCTTGGTGTGTGGCGCGTCGACGATTTGATGGTTAGGCTCATTCTCGAACAGATCGCTCCCGCAAATCGCAAGTCACAGAAACCCAAGCCGCTTTCGACCGTTTTGCGGCAGACCATCGTGTCAGGGACTACGATGTCCGGGATGTCAGCATGGAACTGATGATTGAGCCTGTGCGAGATGCGGAGAAAGAGAGACTGGATAAACTGAGACTGGATTTGGAACGAGAGCGGAGAACGTTCACCGATGCCACGATCAAGTTCGGACGCGAACGAGCTGAGCTCGAGGTGTGTTTTTCCATGACATACTCTTCTTGCTGAATGTCGCTATTTTCAGGCTGAGCGCAAACAATTTCTGGACGAGAAACGTTCATGGGAAGTGGACAAGATGCTCTTAGAACTTCCCCCGACGCCCAAGGCAGAAGCATCCGTTGAGCGCCCAGTTCCGCGGCGATCTCCAAGAAGACCCAAATCTCCGCGAAAGAACGTTGGCGCCAAACCTGTTACTGTAGGCAAGGCTGGCGCCCAGCGAAAATCAACACGTGGATCGAAACGATCGTCGCAGTTATCGCCAACGAAAGATAGAGTGGAGCCCGCATTCGAGACGGAAGTCGTTCTTTCTCCTAGTGTGATGACTGCGTCATCCTCGCTACTGCCGACCTCATTTGTTCTCCCCCCGCCTTCCCCCGCAGCTTTACTACCCGCTCCGGGCTCAGCGTTCCCCGCTCGTATTGCCCCCCTTCCAACATTTTCACTGCCCCCACCACCAGAAGCTTCACCTCTACCCCCCGCCGAAATTCCGGAAACACCTTTCAAAGCTCCGTTCCCCATGGCCAAGCCATTCGCCCGGGGAATGGTGCACGCATATTCACCTGTCAAGCCGAGTCCACTGAGTCGCATACTGATGCTGGGAAACTCTCCTGCTTCGGATGAGGGCGAGCCGTCGATGCCTCTGTCTGTTTTGGCCGAGGAGGATGGGGATCAGGAGATGTTTCCTGTGATTCCTGCTGAGCCTCCTGCGCGAGAATTGACCTTGGCAGAGGAGCTTGGTGTGACAGAATCGCCGCCCGAGAGTCCTGTTTCGTTGCCTACTATTGCACCTCGGAGGAAGATTCCGGCGAAAGCGCCGCCCCGATTTACGGCTGCTGACAAGGGCAAAGGCCGGGCTGTGGAGCCGCCGCCTGCAGCCAAGGAAAAAGAAAATGGACTGGGCGTCAAGCGCAAGATAGGCGCGGGCGCAGGTGCTGCAGGGAGAGTAGAGAGCACGGCGAAGAAGGCTAGAACGGAAACGAAACCTGTCAGTACAGTTTCACGCGCGCGAGTCAAGGCCAAAATTCTGCCTTCTCCAACGAAGCCTGTGCCCAAAGCGGCTTCTGCAGAGTCCAGCAGACCGAGGCGAGTGCTAGTTGATAATGCGAGACCATCCAGAAGAAGTTGAGAGGCATTGTATAACTATATTCCACATCTTATTTATTGTACATGATCCATGTAGAGTCAGTCTACTAAGCCAGGTTTGCTAAGCGTCGGCGGCAAAGACGTGCTGAGTTTCACCGTCTTCACTGTTCTTTGCGGCAGCTCTCTCATCTGCAACCATCTTTTTCCGCCAGAGAACACCAGCGTATGCGCCCGATCGGTACGTTTCAGTCGGATCGGGGAATCTTATCCTCCAGCGGTAGATGTTCATAAAATTCTTGCTCCGTTCATAGGGATTGGCGCTGCTGCCTCCCCGCAGCAACCTCTGAGCCGTATCTTCGGCTGGCTCGACGGTCTCCTTCGGGTTCGCTTTGGGAAATTCAATGGCATCAGGTGCCGACCAGCCAGGGCCCAGCACAGGTGCGAGGGAGCCGGAGTCAAGATAATGGGCAGGCATGTTGGATGCAGATGTGATTTCTCCCACGATGGAAACAGGCACTTGAGCGTCCAGTGTGATACTGCGCGCCCAGTCATTGGTGTGGCGCACAAGCTTTTCGCCGACCCGAGAATACATGTCCCATAGTCCCTCTTCAGCCTGATCGGCGTCGATTTCCGGAATTACAGGTTGATGGAAGGTGTAATTCATGCACTCTTTCGCGACCTTGACAGGATAGAGGGCGGTTAATGTGACGTGCAAATAGGCCTGGGTCGTCGAGTAGAACGTCGCAAAGTCAGTTGGTGCGTCCGCTGGTACTTCGAGGGTGAAGTCCATGCTCGGATCAGCAGCAGTCACAGTTCCCTCCGCGCTTTCCTTGTCGCGAGAGCGACCAAGCGCCCGGATGTTCAGCGAGTCATTTTCGGCGAAGATTGAATCATAATTGGTCGAGTTGGCGTTCAGATCTCGGTAGCTGATGCTTGACGCCGGCGCATTGTTGGAGTTTGGAACATCTACCGTGATCGAGGACCTGACAGTGACCCTGACGCGAGAGGCAGAGGTACTGCCGGCATCGCCTAGTACCGTGAGTCGACCCTTCAGAGTATGTCCTGTTCGACCGATGTCAGCACAGGAGATTGACGACGAAGACTAGACAAGACCTTGCTGCACAACACTGCCTTCGTCCAAATTGATTTTGACGGTGAAATTCGATCGTTGAGCGCGTGGAAGACATTTCTCGAGTTTGTCTTCACGTGCCCGAACATCAGGGGCTTCTTGGGTTATGGAGGAGAAATCTTGCTTCAAGTCGGCGCTCAAGGTGACTGGCTCTTGAGAAGGGCGCACAAACGACAAGGGACTAAATGTCGTATAGCCGGCAGGCACCTCAGTCGTGCGACCGTCGAAAAAGGTCACGGTCTGATACAAGACTGGTAAGTCACAGTTGGGAAACAGCAACCAGACTGACCGCGAGGTATTGGTAAGTCAGGTCTACATAACCGTAGTTGTCATCGACCGGCCCATTAAGCAGATCGCGCGAGCGATATTGTGGGGAGGGGGGATAGTTCACCGAAGGGACTGCGACGTGGAACGGAGTGACCACTGGCCGAGTAAGATCTGACAATCCCAGTGAGAAGGGTAAAAAAAGCTGCAGAGTGACGCACTAGCAAGATTCTCGAGTAGAATCGCCTCTGTAGACCACGCCTCTCTCTCTGTAGCATGCGTGACCCAGAACTCGGGATCTGACATGGCCTGGTCGTAACTTGTGTAATCGTACATGGGCACATTGACCCCGAAGGTTTGAGCGTACTCCTCTGGGATCGCAGAGCTTTCGACCAAAGTGATCTCAGGCAGCACCTGGCCTTCTCGGAGTCTCTTGTACTCTCTGAACTCAAGCAAGCGAAGACGCAGAGACACGGATTCAATGGCGGATGTACAGATGGACTCTGGCGCAGAACGTATCCGGAGTTCACCTGGGTGACAATATCAAGGTCAATGGTTTTCTAGCAGCAGAGGGTGATTCGAGCGTACCACGCGCTACTTGATTAGGAGTAAGGTCCGGGGCACGAACAGCGGCCAAAATCCGACACTCTGGGGTTGCAGAGCTGGCAGGGAGCTGGGCCAAGTCGACAAGGGCATCGAGGAACTCCAAGTCCAAGGTGGCGACTGTCGCAGCGAGACATGCGAGCGAGAAGACCGTTCCAGAGACGGACTTCATGGTATGCAAGAAAGGGAAGGAACTCTTGGGCGCTGTTTACTCGCGAGGGCTGTTATACTTCCCGCATCGTGGTTCATGAACTTGGCTAGACTGATTCTTACACTGCAATCCAGCCCACGGGCCACAGCTTCAGCCAGATTTCAGCGGGTTCATCATCCTTCCTCATCACAGATACGCCTCGGGCGCTGATGCTATAGCCGTACCAGAAACAGTTGGCAAGCGACAGAGATTCTGAGGGCTGGGAAAGCGACGGACGATGGTTGCTAACAAGAGTGTGAGGTTGTGGACTATTCAGTCCTACTATCGTGTTTAGAAAGGGATAGGGTACAGTCATGACTGATGGTTGCTTGTTTGCTCGATGACTGTGCGAACAGCAACTAGGCCAAGCCTATTGCTGTAAGGACATGAGCCTGAGCAGCTCTGTGATACATGTAGGAGCCATACTCTCTCGTGCGTGCTGCAAACAAGGCTGATGGTGACGATCGTGAATGCTATCAAGCTGCAGGGACTGGTGAGCTAGCGTGTGCAGCTGAGGGGCCTAATACGCTAGCGCGTGATCTTCTCACACGCCCGCCTAGCTCAATCGGCTAGAGCGTCAGACTTTTACGGGACTGTGATCCGCTGAGGACAACATCACTTCTGATGAAACAGACGTATATCTGAAGGCTGCGAGTTCGACCCTCGCGGTGGGCTAATATGCTTTTGCTCTCTCCAGTTTTTTGAGACCCTTCTCCTGTCACGGTGCCTCCTTCAGTTCTCATTGATGTTAACCATTTCGTTCAATAGACTTGAAGAAGCCTAGTCTCTTGTCCATGTGAAGTCATGCTTTGGATGTAGGAATGAAAATGTCGACTTTGCCAAAGGCTTTTGAATCAAACGCATCCGGCAGGATGAACTGAGAAAAACAAATGTTCAAACTTCCGCACGGCCGATGTAAGCGCATCAGCACCGCGTCCGGGCCGGCCTCCTCAATAAGCGTTTCACCAAGAAGTGACTAATGCTATCAACTCGACCGCAACATGTTTATTCCGAGCTCGACTGGTCCTTTCCTCCACTCCAGCCCCCAAGTCAATGGCACCTGCGGAACACCTCCAGGCGGACGACGCGAGCGCCAGCGAGAAGACAGCTGAAGGCGGAGACAAGGACGGTCTGGGCTGCGAATCGTTCTCGACTGCAGACGCAAAGGCTGCGCTCGCCAATGTCAACCCTGACGATGACTTTCCGGACGGCGGGTTTCGAGCTTGGTCGGTCGTTGCTGGGGTACGTCCGTCCCAGTGTCCCGAGGATGTCGAGGCTCATACGGCGCGCACAGGTCGTGGCGGGGAACTCGGCAACGTGAGTTTCCGGTCTGAAGTCTCCGAATCAGAACTGACCGCTCTCAAGATTTGGTTATGTGAACGCCTGGGGTGTACGCTTACTTCCGTCAAGACATCGACATCATCCTCATCCGAACGTCTGCTAGGTCTTCCAGGCGTATTATGAACAGAACACGCTAAATCATGTCAATGCATCTACGATGTGCGTTCCCTCCGCTGCTAGCACTTCGTCCGCTGATTTCCGCGAAAGTGCCTGGATAGGATCTATACAAGTATGTCGCTCGATCGTCCAAAATGTTACCCACTGACATCCACAAAGTATTCCCTCATATTTTTCCCTAGTTTAATCACGGGTCGTCTGTTTGACCTTGGATACTTCCAAGGCCCGCTGGCTGTGTCGAGTGTGATCCTCATTGCAGCGACATTCCTTGTCGCTCAGTGTAAGGAGTACTATCAGTTTCTGCTTTGTCAGGGAATACTCACCGGAGTGCGTTAACCACGGCCATAGTCTGTGCGATGTTGCTAAATTCTTGCAGGTATGCTGCGGTGTCATTTTCGGACCAAATCTAGGTCTCGTCGGGCACTGGTTCAAACGCAAAAGAGGTCTGGCGATGGGGATAGCCGCCAGTGGTTCGTCGATCGGAGGAACAGTCTTTCCTATCGCGACACATAAATTGATACCACTCGTTGGGTAAGTTCCCCCTCTTCCGCTTGTTCTTATCCGTTCTTCTGAACACTTACCATCTCAGCTTCAAATGGACGATGCGTATATGCGCATTCATGCTACTCTTCTGTCTCGCCATTGCCAATCTCACCCTGAGAAGACGCTTGCCACCGAAGAACGTCGCAGGCGGGCTGCTCAACTTGAAAGCATTCAAATCGGCCTCCTATACAATATGGTCGATATCGTCCCTCGTCGCCTTTCTGGGGCTGTACACCGTGCTTACGTACATCGACGTGAGCGCCCAGTCGTTCGGGATCTCTCCCGAATACAGTTTCTATCTGATCGCGATTGCGAACGGATCCTCGGTGTTTGGACGACTCGGAGGCGGAATTATCTCAGACCGCACGGGTCAGTCGTTTGTCGCTGGATTATCGTGGCTTGTGCTGAAGATGTGACAGGTCCTATGAACGTGCTGATCCCTTCCACGCTGCTCTCAGCAGTGGTGACGTTTGTTTGGCCTCATGTGCGAACCCAGGGCGGGTTGACTGCAATTGCCGTCATCTATGGGTAACACACCCACTTCGAGATGGCTTCAATTGCTGATAGGCGTGTAAATTAGCATGTTGTCTGGAGTTTACGTCAGCCTTTTCGCTGTCCCGCTGTTCGAGCTAGGCGAAATATCGGACCTGGGTCGGAGAACAGGAATGACGTTGACAATGACTGCAATAGGCGCTCTCGCAGGTATGTAGTCCATTTCAAGCCGTGTGTCTCTGCTGATGGAATCAGGGCCACCCATATCTGGAGCAGTGAATACTGCCACTGGCGGCTACACAGCTGTCGGATACTACGCCGGAAGCGCGATTGTGCTTTGCGTCATCCTTATGCTCATTACGAGGCACTTGGTCCTGAAGAGACTCTGGGGCAAAATATGATCCAGTCTGCATAGATCTAGACTCAAGTGCCGAGCGCATACCATTAATATTCGGAAAATGAAAGAATATAGAGACCGCAATTCCAAGCGTCGCCTGTGCACACAGGCTGCCCAGGTGGATCATATTTGCCTTGCTGGCGGCCTCCAGTCGTTTGAAATAAGACAACATCCTCAGGGCCTAGCGTACATAGTGGCGACAAAGTGGCGGCCGTCACGCGTCTGTCCACGCGTCATTGTCAGCCACATCAAAGATCGTTTCCATAAGGGGAATTCGGCGCTTCCGTTACTCACAAGGTGGTCCACCACCATCAACCTTGCCCGCCCCCCATCCCTTCCGCGGCAGTCTCCCCGCCACAAGTGGTTCTCACTTGCTGGCCCGGCATTTTAATTCTATTTACGCTTTTCACGACTAGGCTGTTTGTTTGAAGAGCGGACGCGGTGGCATCGGCTAGACCATCGCTGACGATCTTCATCCATCTCACGTAGCTCCCTTCCTAAACGCCTCCCCCTCTTGGGTATCCGAAAACCGGCTGGTCCATCTAAATCGACTAGATCCTGTTCATTTCGTATGTCTTCGATTGCTTGCTCGTTTTTTTAGCTCACGCTTTCTGTTTCAGACCGGGTCGACGACGAAATGCCAAGCTCATCCTCATCTCACAGCCAGGCGCGCCCGGCCTCTTCCCGCAAGATATCCACCGACGTTCCAGCTCCAGGGTCACAGCGTACTGCGCATGTGCAAGCTCAGGACTCGCAACCCCACATGCAGCCACACCATCACCATCATTCCGCGTCGACGTCCATCCCGCATGCTCATGTACAACCCGTGCACCCCGTCACGCAACCGCACCCGCATTCCGCTGCACCCCTGCACCCCATTCCCCGGCCCGAGTCACCCACGCCTTCCCCATTATCATCATTTGCCGGTGCTCCCAACTCGCCCAACACCTCGACATCTAAACTCCCCCGTTTTCTCCAGTCGCCGACGCAGCGCGACCGCTCCAAGTCCATGATCGCGGACCGCCCACCGTCGACGATTAGTACTGCTTCGAATATGACAAACGCATCCAGCACCAGCAATTCATCAGGTGGCCGGAGATTTCTGGGGTTGGGGAAGGATAAGGGATTAAAAGAGCGGGAGAGACAGAAGATACGAGAAGCCGAGCGAAGAGATCCCACCGCTGCGGAGCTTTTGGCTGTACAAGATGCCGATTCTTCGTTCACTGCTTATGACCCTGGCCTTTCAACGGCTTCTTCTCCACCTTCAGCATACTCCTCGGGCACGGCCCGACCACGGCCACGGACTCGGTCCGAGCGTCCCGCATTTTCGTCCTCCACGCCGCCCTCTAGCACTTCGCCTACGTCGAGTTCGCCTGCGCTTTCTTCTTCCGGACACTCTTCACATGGACACGATGTGGTGCCGCGCTCGCCACGTCTCGGCGTCAGTCTTGGCGCTGGTGAGGGTGGGCTGGCAACGAGGCTGAGCGGCTGGTTCTCTCATCTATCGGGCAGCACCTCGGATTTGTCGCTCACGTCGACTATCACCGGGTCACTGGCACATTCAGTGCACACAGCTAGTGCCTTAGCGTCCAGCCGATCGAGTCGCAAGTCGGACTCGGGGCAATCGAGCTCCCACACGAGCTCCAGGACGGCTAGGGCACATCACGGGACGCCAGGCAAGGAACGGGGTGACTCCAAGGACAGCGGCCATTCCCAGACCACCAAGTCCGGGGCTGGCAAGCTCGGCAACGGAGGTGGAATCCTGGACAAAGCCGTGCGCTACATCTTGGACGGAGATACAATTCAAGGTAGTGTCGAGATCGAAGAAGGGGAGGAGGTATGGTTTATGGGTGTGCGCATCGCGGGAGACGGAAACAACAGCGCGTCGGAAGCGTTTCATGCTGCGTTCTACTCGACCGTTTGGTGCACGTATCGTGCAGGATTCGAGCCGATCCGAGATCTGAGTGGATTGTCTGCATTGCCGCCGCCGCTTGTGTTTGCGCCTGGGTCTCCTGGCGGACATCAGCACAATGTCTTGGCGACACCGGGTGGTGAGTGTCTTGCAATTCCTTCGAACGGATTGAGTGATAATGACTTTTCAAGGCGGTTCACACCATAGCCATGTGTCTCGCTCACCCAGTGCCAGCACTGGCAGCGAAGGCGGCTGGAGCGACGTTTCATCCTTCTCTCATTCGTCCCATGCATCGTCACAACAATCTCATCACTCCAATTCGTCTCATGCCTCGAACTCCTCGTATTCGTCCTCAGGGTCCGGCACGAGCAGTAAGAAGCGGTGGTGGGGACTTTCCAATATTCCTGGAATCGGATCCCTCGGCACCAAGGGCTGGACATCGGATACCGGTTGGGGATGCATGCTGAGGACAAGCCAGAGTCTGCTGGCCACAGCCCTGGGTAGAGTGGGAGGTGCGTGTTTTCTATTTTTGCTCGCTTCTGGACCCATGACTTATCGACATGTCAGAGCCCTCGTTGACACCCTCCCTGCCTCCAGCCTTCCCTCCGCCTGGATATGCTCTTTCTCCCTCGCCATCAGACCCTGAATCTCCGTTGACGCCACCGCCTCCCCTCTATTCGTCCGACCCGTTGGCCCATGCTGCACTGGCCCACCACGCCCGACTTGTGTCGTGGTTCCTCGATTCTCCTGCCTCACCCTTCGGAGTCCATCGCATGGCACTTGCGGGCAAAGCTGCCGGGAAAGATGTTGGGATGTGGTTCGGCCCGAATGCAGCTGGATCTGCTCTGCGGATGCTCGTAGAGGCGTTCCCTGCGTGTGGGCTGGGGGTTTGTGTCGGTGCCGACGGCTCGCTGTATCAGACAGATGTGTTTGCGGCGAGTTGGACCCCGGGCGAGGAAACGGGCCCAAGGTCCTCTACATCGTCATCATCTCATGGGAAGAGCAGTGGGAAGGCGCCTGTCAAGCCTGAGACACGCTCTTGGGGTGATCGACCGGTGTTGATTTTGTTGGGAATAAGGTTGGGATTGGAGGGTGTCAATCCAATCTATTACGAGACGATCAAAGTGAGTGTTGTTGGTCTACTTGTTTCCTTGGTCTTACTGGTCTTTTCCTCTTCAGCGCTTGTATACGTTCCCGCAATCTGTTGGCATCGCCGGTGGGCGGCCATCCTCCTCGTACTACTTCGTCGGCGTGCAGGGTGACGGATTGTTCTACCTGGACCCGCATCATTCGCGACCCGCTGTTCCGCTCAGGCCGTTCATGGGCGAAGATGACCGTGGTGGTTCGATGAGCCCCGAATTGGTCCAGCAGCCTGGACGGGGAGGATCTCTTAGTCCCGAGCCTCAGCACGGTGCCGGACGGGGACATACGCCTATGACGGAAGATGAGCTGTTTATTGGGAAGCAGCCCCAGCGATCCAAGACAGCGCCTGCAGGAGGCTTCCTAGCACCTGAGGAGGAAGCTCATTTCTTGCGGTCGTACACCTTCGCTGAGCTTCAGACATTCCACTGCGAGCGCGTTCGGAAGATGCCGTTGAACGGGCTGGATCCGAGCATGTTGCTGGGCTTTGTTGTACGGGACGAGGCGGAGTGGCTCGATCTTAGGAAGAGGGTGAAGGCAGTGCGTCTATTATTCCTTTGTGTGTTGTTGAGGGTCTGATCTCAACTAATAAGCTCCCGCGGACAATCTTTACGATCTTGGACGAGCCGGTCAGCTGGCCAGGGGATGATGATGACGACATCGGAATGGAGAGCATATCGGACCCAGATGAGGAGGTTCCCGACGAGAGTGATGTGTCTGTTGCGTCGCACGCCTTTGCCCAAACTCACGTGCACTCGCACTCGCACTCGACAACGCACTCCCAATCAACGACGGGCACGGACGACGATCCCGTTGCGCCGCTTACGCCACTCCCCGGAGCGCGTTTCGACAGCAAGGGCTACGCCGAGGAAGATGACGGGGACGATGAATTTGTTGATGCCACGGCGGAGATCGAGGATGACTGGGTTGATCCGATCCCGGCTAGCGAGCCTGTCGTTCCGATCCTGAAGAAAACGCCGTCTGGTAAAGGCAGCAAGGGCAAGAGCAAAGGCAAGAAAGAACGGGCCCCGGTTCCGGTTCCGAGTGTCCATTACCCTTTCCCTGTCTCGGGCGAGGAATCGAATCGGTCGACAAGCCCTCCGCCGCCGAGGGATCGGAACGTGACTGTTTCTCCCCGGCCTGGCGGTGGCGTTGTTGAAGCTGGCAGGATGCATAATGCCAGAGCTAGGGATGGGGGCAGGACCCAGAGTGGCGGTGTTCGTGGCATTCTCTCTGAAGACTCTTGAAGTGAGTCGCTTTCGTCTTTCTCTTCGTTCCTGTGTTACATTTGTACATTTATAACATGCTACTGTACATATTACAGCTCCAGATTCCCCGTTTAGCCTATTCTCTCACCTTACATCCTGATACTATTCGATACCCGCAATATCTATTCGATATCATGTCTTATGTTTCTTGTCACTGGTAGCAGTATGCATCCACCTCGCCTCACTTACAGTATCCCATGCTATGGTGCGCCGTGAATATAATCACTGCCAAGTCGCTTTCCTTTTTCGGATGTCGGGTGTAGTGGGAAACCAGTCGTGTTTTCGGGCTCTGACAGAATCAATCGCTCTATTCTGACCTAGACAAGCCATGCTAACAAAAACGTGGCTTATCAACTAGCAAATCAGTGCGCGACTAACCGTAAATTCCTTCATGTTTTCGCTGACAGCTGGCAGGGACATAATCCTTACGTTCAGCTCGATAAGGAAAAGTCTTTCCGGCGACAGTGTTCATGAATGGGGCCATGGAATACAACTGAATCCGGGTGGAATATTGGTTTGGGGTCAGTAACTTCTTGAGGATTAACAGATGGAGTGTCGGGTATGAGCGAGACAAATTCAAACAAGCCACACTGACATTCAGAGGTGCAATTTGATGGGTTTAGACTACGAGCAATGGCAACGGTAGATGTGCAGAATGAACAGGCTGTAGTCCTGGCCAATTGCGGAACAAATGATCGAGTTGCACCTATTTGGTCAGCGGCTGTGCTTCAGCTGTGCTCCCCGTCCCCGTTGATCTGGCCTCCAAATCTTGAATGCGCCTTATTTATTCCTAGCTGCGATGTCCAACCAATCCCACCGCATACCTATCCACGCCGCGCCATGGAGCGACGACGAAAAACCCTCCTTGAACGACATCACCGCCCGCATGCGAAAGTCGGTATCCAGGGTGTACCGATACTGGTCACCGCGCGCAAACCCCCTAACATCCTCGTCGACGCCCTCGCAAGCATCAAACTTGAAGTTCATACTTCTGTGTATGCTGTGGTACACCTCCTCTGCCCTCTCGTCCAACACAGGCAAGGCGATCCTGAACCAGTTCCGCTACCCCGTCACCTTGACGTTCGTCCAATTCGGTTTCGTGGCGGGTTATTGTCTCCTGTTCATGTCGCCTGCTGTCCGCTTCTCGCGGTTAAGGACGCCGACGAGGGCCATATTGAAGACGACGTTGCCGATGGGGCTGTTTCAAGTTGGGGGCCACATTTTCTCGAGTCTGGCTATCTCCCGGATACCGGTCAGCACGGTGCACACGATTAAGGTGCGTTCATAGTTTCACCATTCCGATTATGGTGTTGAGGTGGACATATAGGCGTTATCCCCCCTGTTCACTGTTGCCGCCTACGCCATTCTGTTTGGCGTGAGTTATTCGACCAAAACCTACATCTCTCTGCTCCCACTCACTCTGGGTGTGATGCTTGCGTGCTCATTCGCCACCAATGCATCCAACTTTGTCGGTCTCCTATGCGCATTCGGCTCCGCGCTTGTTTTTGTCAGCTCCAATATCTTCTTCAAGAAGATCATGCCGTCGAACTCGGCTCAGTCGAGTGGGCACAAACTTGACAAGCTAAATCTGCTGTTTTACTCTTCCGGGATGGCATTCCTCCTCATGATACCCATCTGGATGTACTACGACCTGCCGCGTCTCCTGTCTTCTGTGCCTTCGGCTGCTGCATCCTCAGCCAAGCCGGCAGCCCACGGCGTGTGGTACTATTTCTTCATGAACGGAACAGTGCATTTTGCGCAAAACATCATTGCCTTTGTCATCCTGGCGTCGACCTCTCCGGTGACCTATTCCATCGCCTCGCTCATCAAGCGAGTGTGGGTGATCTGCATCGCCATCGTGTGGTTCAGCCAGACGATCCATCCGGTGCAGGGCTTTGGGATCGTGCTCACATTTACCGGATTGTACATGTACAACAACGCCAAGGGCGATGTTGAACGTGGAGAGAAACAGATGCGGCGGGTCGAAGCTGCCCGGGACCTTGCGCTGCCAACGACGAAAGAGGAGGCCGCTGTCTTTTCTGGCAGGAGCGAGTCGAGTGCAGAGACGACTGGAACGGATGGCATCACAGCCCTGCACGGCCGGCCGCGTGCCCCGTCAGTGGCGCTGAACTCGGCTAAGCCACCTCTGCTCCCGCATCCTTATCTTCACTCCCAGCAGCCACACGTACACAATCACCACCATCATCACAATGCTCCGCCGCTGACGATTCGGGTGACACCGCCGATGCCTCTCTCGCCGACCGACTCGTACCCGTCACCACCGCTTTCCGTAGACTCCCCTCGATCTCCGCCCCTCCACGCTTCTTCAAGACACATTCTTGCGGAACCCCGTCGTATCCCGGCGGCAGCGTGAGCCGGCGGAGGTCTGGACTGGTCTCTACCATATACACATATCTATTATACTTAGACCACATCTTTCAATCTGGATCTGGGACGTGCATATATCGATAATTGAACAACTCTGCGAGTCTCGTACAATGTTCGTCTCGTATCTTACAGTCGTATCTAGTCTATCACGGATCGCAAGAACGAATAGTAGGCTGGTGATTACTCGGCATGGCCGTTGCCAACGACCGGGTCGGCGGGTTCTGCCGGGCTATGTCGCTGGACGATGCGCAGCACGTTATCGAGGACGGGACGCACGCGGCCCTGCACCTCTGCGCCGACACGGGTAAGCTTGTCTTGGACCGTGAGGTCAGGAGTGGTCACGATGGAGCTCAGAGTGTGGATCGCATCGGTCAGTTCGTGGGAGGCGGTAGCGGTCGAGCTCTGCACCGAGGCACTGGTCGAAGCAAGCGATCCCTGGAGGCGCTGCAGCTGGACTAGGAGAGAATCAGAGAGCGCGTGGATGCGGGTGCTGGTGGAGGCAGCGAGCGCAGCGATGGCGTCGGTCGTTTGCATGGCGCGTTGGCTGCACGTGCTGTCAGTCAAGCATAGAAAGCCAATGGCGGTGATTCTGCACGCACGCAAGAACGGTGTGTTGGGAGTAGTCGTAGAGCTGGCCGGTGACTTGTTTCGAAAGCGCGTAGACGCGTTCAGCTTGGTAATGGTATTGCGCATCGGCAGGCGTCGCCGGGGTGTGCAGACGGTTCACCGCGGTCGATTCGAGATAGTCGACGATGGGTGTGAAGCGCTGAAATCAATCAATACGGACCTCTAATCGATGGAAAGCACAGACCACAAACCTGGTCAATCTCAGAGACCGCCGTCAAAGCAGGCGAAGTGACACGCGCTTCGATTGTCTTGTTCGCACTCTGCTGCTGCCGGTCCACAAAATCGACCACGCTCTGTCTGCGCGAGCGCACATACTCGGCGACTTCCTCGGGCTGCGCTTCGAACGGATAGGGGTATTTGCTCTGCACGACGTCCACAGCCTTGTTCGCGAACCCGTCCACCGATTGGATCAGGGGCGCGAAGCGGACTTGGATGGGGGCGCTGTAGTTGTATGCGGTGAGCGACAGATCCTTGGCCTTCGTGTACGACGAGGCGGTGTACGCGTTTGACGATAGCGTGGAGCTGATCTGCTGCAGGGAATAGCCCACGATGGGGATCGAGGCGAAGCGGTTGAGGATGGTGACCTCTGGGGGCGCAGGGGTGTCAGAGGAGGGCATAGGGACCGTGGAAGCCATGTTTGGAGGAGCAAGAAAAAGGCGGTGTGAATGAGGTAAGAGATTGCATTTTTGTAGACGGGACGAATTGGCATGTGATTTCTAAAGTTGGCGCAATTCCAGCCTTCCAATGTCTCGAGCGGCCTCACCTTATCCCTGGGCAGTTTTATACGGCATTTTCACGGGCCTAGTTCTCCTCGAGATGTCTCGTTCGAAGTGAGCCCTCGCAGGTGTTTCTTCTCTACTTGCACCAGTATTGATAAGATATGCGAAATCTCACGTCTTCAATTGACAGGTGCTCCGCTATCTCGACTCTGGAGATTGTGAATACCCTCGCTGGAGCTGACGAGGACGTGAATGCGCTTCATAGCTAGCATCTGCGACTGCCTCAAAATGCATTACCTCCGACTCCTTGTGAAATATGCGTGCAGCACTCGCGCAGCCTGTGATTTTTTCAAGCGACGCAGCTAGCTTGTGATTTTTGAGCGGCGATCAAAGTGATGGAAGCATATCAGATAATCTAATCTCGCTCTGCATCAAGAAACCTTGAAGCTTGAAGTTTATCATTGCTTGCTCTCTTTCCGCTGACTAAACAGTACACTAGTATTTTAGGATCGAAGCCGGATGGGCAACATTGGTTAATAATATGGAAGGCATCAGAACTACGCCTCACGACCGCCTGTGTCAGGTCACCCCCCGGCATTGCTTCTTCACTCTTCGGCGTCCGCAACCTTTTTCTTTGTCCACTGAATTTATTGGTTCCACTCAGGCGGTGATCCTTGGGCGCGCCTAATCTGCGACGCATCTTCTGATTCTCCTCGGCGCTCGCGGGTGGGTGCTTAGTGATTGGCGGCACCGATCCATGCAGTTTGTCTTCCCCAACAGAAGCAGAAGCTCGAGCATCGAAAGGAACTTGGTTAGCGACTGATTCATTCTCCGAGAACACACGCTAGCGCTCGGATGATGGATGCATACAGCTTCGTGTGTAATGACAATGATGCATGCATATTCCCACAGCCATGAGGCTACGAGATGACGAAGTTTGATGACTCTCAATTGATGCCGTAATCCACCTCTTTCACTTGTCCTTCACCGCTCTTTCCTGGGCCATGCTGTTGTCTAGGTACGCCTCACAGTTCTCAAAGCAATCTCTCTGGGCTCGACCATCTACGGTGAAATTTCGCAAAACTGAATCTCTGGTGCTCTTCTGTCTTTGAAGTCCTCGGCCCAACCTCGGACTTGCCAAAGGGGTCTGATCTTTGCCATCATCCCTCCTAGCACCTCAAACACTACTGGGATCCCCTGAAAGACGCACCGAAAGCAGTCGGTAAAATTCAGCCTCCGCAAAATTCATATTTACATTGATATGCTGCTCACGGTGACTTTTCGGTGTGTCCGAATTCTGCGGGGGGTGGTCAGCAATTGATCGGTCTCATTTCAAAGGAGCTTAGCTCAAACGTCGCAGCTTGCAAGAAAGAGGACCTGATTTTATTCTATTTATTTCGAGGGGTACCGTAGCTCAATGTTTCAAAGCGCTATTTCACGGTCAAGCAGGAAACTCGTGCATTGACTGGCGGACTCTCTCGTGGTGCACTGACTGCATCATGGATAAGTGGACCTCCCTCACCGCGGGAGCACGTGGACCCATCTTGCTAAGCGCCTTCTTCGATGCCGTGGATCACCATTTATTCGAGCGTTGGGTGCCGCGGTGCCGCGGCGGCGTGCTGAAACCAGGTCCCAATACAAATCGGCACGGGCTTTCAAAGATAGTCTCCTGTTTTCGGTCAGCAGGACAGGCTCTATAGGCACATCGCTTGAAAACATCACCGAGATGTCACAGCCTGACATTCAGTTTCAGCTAGCTTCGGCAGATAAGTGCTTGGAGTGTGGATGGCCTAGACCGCCGCGATTGTCCTTCAAAATCTAAGAGTTACGTAAGGCTTGGCTCTGCGCAGGAGTAGTAATGCGGTTTCAAAACGATATTCGAAGGAGACGGAAATGGCTGCGTGCATAGGCACTGAATGTCCTCTCCTCGGAATAGGATCTCTGAGGCTGCTCGGTGAGATCGGTCAGGAGGCCGGCTCGAGGCTGATCAGAAAGTTGCGCATGTGTTGACCGCTAAGCCACCGACCACACGTCATACATGGCTTTGTCCCAACGCAACAAAGATTTGTGTTGGGCCAGCTGGCTTGACCCGGATATGTCGAGTGGCAAGAATAAGAATGCCGTTAGTCGTGCGAACACGCACACTCAAGTTCCGGTCAGCTGACTCGCTTTTGGCCCATTTGTGGGTTTCCCTTGCGATGGACTATCAATATGTACATAGAAGTCGTCCGAATATGGTAATCTATCGCTGGCCAGTGACCCCAGATCTGCTACTTAGTTTTGACAGCAGAACTTTCCCATGAGGCTAAAACTCAATCGTCCATAGACATGCAGCCCAAGTTCGGACGTTGCTCTTACAGCGCGATATAGTGGCCACTGCCCACAACCTTTAAAATCTGCGTTGGTGATAATTTCATGCTTTTTTCCGCTGGCTTCCGAGGCCATGATTAGATAGCGTGTCGATCACGATCGAGATCTGGCATGTCATTGACAGCGAGATCTTTAGATCTCGTTCGACTCTCTCCGGACGTCCGAGGACAAGTATATGGCGGAGCTCGGTTCACGCGGCAGATTCTCCATTGTCTTTTAACAGAATAGGTCAGCGTCATGGTCTCTATCTTGCCCTGATGCCACCCCCAATCATGGGATGGTCCCCCTCGAATGCTGGAGGCGACATCGTCGACGAGTCGACGTTGCCCAGAGAGATCGTCTTCCCGGCGCAGCCTGCGTCCTCCCCCTCCTCGTCCTCCGACGCGCCGCGACGAGGAAGGATACCCCGTCCCCGCAACGCGTTCATCATGTTCCGCCAGTGGTTTGTGCAGCACCGCCCCTCCAAGAGGTCCCTCAAGGGCGCGGGCTCCGGGGTGTCCGTCTCCCGCGAGGCTAGCATCGCATGGCATGCGCTGCTCCCCGACCAGAAGCAGTACTTCTACAAGCTCGCGGAGATTGAGAAGAAGCGACACGCTCTCCAGTATCCGGGCTACCAGTTCAAGCCCCGCCGAAACCCCAAGGGCTCCTCTCAAAACGTCGCGGCGACCATCGCTGCCACGAGCTGTTCTGCTGCGCCTAGTCCTGCTCTGTCGACCAGCTCCTTCGTCTGCCGAGCGGCCGAGCTGAAGCGCCCGTCATCAGCGCAGACCGTCGGCCAGCCAACGCTCGACTACGGCTCGCCGGCGCATCAGACTCCCCCGATGACGCCACCGCCAGAATCTGTGGCGTCCGCCTCTCTCGCGTCAATCAAGGCCGACCGCAGGCGCTCGTCCTCTGTTCCCGTCACCTCCGAAGACTACATCTACATGTCGAGGTTCCTGGCTGCAACTGAAAATGCAGCCCCGTTCATTGTGACCACGGACGATTTGGTTTCCCAACCGATGTCGGCGACATTCTCTGACCACAGACGCTCGCGGTCCTTGAGTCGAGAGTGGCCAACCGCGGCTCCTGCTTTCGAGGCAGCACCACTCGAATCGATGTTCCTGGATCCTCGTAGTCCGCAGGTATGCGCGGTGCCTGAATCTATGCGTTCCCGCGGAGCTCATCCTCCTTTTAGCACTCTCACGAATACGTCTCGTCATTCAATTATTTTCCTCCGCGATCGCCGAACAACGCGACGCTTGACCCGGCCGCGCTCTTCCTACCCAACGCTCCCATGCCTCCGCTGGATGCGGTCGCGTCGTCGCTGGTCGACTGCGAGGGCGCACCGCCTCGCCTCTCACCGATGACTACGTCGATCATCGTCACCCCTGTCGCGCCTACAGCCAAGCGGCCTCCGCGGGTCACCCCCCCTCTGTGGCTTGGGATACCCTCTTGCTCGGAGAGCTTTGATCTCGCGGCGCTCTCCGAAGGGTCCTCGCCACCCGAGTCCGTCACCGAGCAGGGCTTCTCCCCGCCGCTGGGTGCCTTCGAGTGGGATGGCTCGCCGCTGATGTACCCTGTTGACGTCGGATTTGAAGATCCCTCCTACTTCTCCCAACATGTGTTCGCTCCAGAAGACCTGGACTTCTCTCTTCCGGGGTATCTCTGATGCGCCTTCCACCCAGTTCTCATCGTCGCGTTGCTGTCTCTATTGTATATATTTATTTCCGACATACTCACCCAGTATTCGCCCGTAGAACTAAATGTATATCGCCGCCAGGCGCCTGTATCATCTGCTGTATATCTCCCTTCTGGGGCTGTTTATGATAAGAATCAATCAGGTTTAAGGTTGGCTGTCGAGTCATCGTCGAAGGCCAACCCTAAAACTGAAACTAGTTGAATTTACGGCATCATCGGCCCCTGTGCTTGGCTTGGATCATCTCCTTGGCTTCGGCTTCAGGTTATCATACGATTGACTCGAGGCGCTTGAGCGAGATGTATTGAATCAGAATGCATTGGGTCAGACCTATGGCTGCCGTGCAGGCCATGGCTGACGTCAGGGCACAGGAGGGCCCCTGTGTTGTGACAGAGCTAAGCATACTGCAAGATACTACAACTGGGAGCGTATCTGTGTACTTATCAGGAGCCCTATTGAGCCCTGTTCTCTTCTGTCCACCGTACGTGCCAACCATCTTGACTGTTGACATTGTTGTCGATCTCTCAAGCGTTATACACTTCTTGACCCGAGGATCACGGGCAGTCACGTGTCTGAGTGCAGTCTGTATCTGGTTCCGAATTGCTGACTGACGCCGTTCGGAAAGTGAAGCGTTCAGCTAACCCTTCGAAGGATTGACTCCCGAAGAACATGATCAACTGAAGGTTCGTGGTCGAGCATAAGGTGTGGGCGCATGTGGGTGCAGTTTTGTCAGATTACGTACTCCTATGACGTAGTGTGGGGACGCCTTCTCACTCAACACTCAACTCTGTGGATCGACACGCTCGCGGGACGGGAGTCCCCAAGCACCCGTCTTTTACCATCGATACTGTACTCTCTTCTGGATGGCGGGAATTTCTCTCAGCTTCCACACGAACGTCAGCCAAAGTTCAGGCCTTGTGTGGCCAGTCGCGGTGGATGACACGAAGGTCTTCTATCACAGTTTCAGACGGATGCTTGCAAGTAGCGGGACAATTCGGAAGATTTACAAGAAATGTCTCAACACGAAGCAATCTGAGACCAGGCCTAGGGTGCATGCGGCAACCGTCTGACGCAATCTCTTCTGATGTCTCACTGCGTCCTGGACTGCCGCGTCTGTCGAGCCCTCAGCGGCAGTAACACTAGTACGGCATACGGAGGTCTCACTGGCCTTCCCATTTGATGATGTCATCGGAGGCTGCAGTGCGCTCTCTATAGCTAGTTCCTCCGCTGCGGAAAGTGGTCTCTCTGTCGACTTTCTGCAAACTTGACGTCTCGATGAATTCGGTCCATGGCACTGTGTATTTGTTCGCCATTGGCCCGGACAGACTCTCGGAAGTTGTTCGCCAGAAGTTGTTCGCCAGGCTTTCTGTATCTCTCGGAAGTGAACTGTCTCAGCTAGAAGTGCGGATGTAGAATGTGAATGTCTGAGCCCCTATCTCCGACTTTTAACATATAAGGCGGGCACAGGCCACAGAGAGCGCATATCCACTGCTTTAACTGTTTAACACAAACCACCACTACCTACCATCTACTCTGCATCAGTGAGTCCTTCTCTCGCTCTCTGAATCCGTCGTTCTCATTTGCTTCGAGCATTATCATGTTGCACACCACCACGTATGATCTCCCCGAGTCCATCGCTCCGTCCTCCTCGACCTCGAGTGTCTCATCCGACTGCTCGTCGAGCAGCACAATCACCCTTCGAGACCGTCGAGGAGTGTCGCTGTGGATCTCGTTCTCCGCTGTCTTCCCGGTCGCTCCCAAACCCAAGGGAGCGCTCGGCCCGACCGTGAACAACATCCCCCGGCGGCGGAAGCGCAGTAGTGTCGTTTCCATCGACTCGCGGCCCGTGTCTGAGGACTCGTCATCACTTGACCGGGTCGGCTACTTTGCGTGAGGGGTCGGGTCGGGTCGAAGGGGAGACGGAAATGGAGTTGTATGCGGTCGTGTGATGGAAATGAGGTAGGCTCTATCTTGTTGCCCATATCCAATCGTGTGCTGATTCTCGCCTGCAGCCATCCGCGCCGACAGACCAAGTGTCAATTACCATCACACCAGTCCAATTGGACTTGGTTGACGTGAAGCGGCGGTCTCTAAGCCGTCGCAAGCGACGAGGGACGGGAATGATGGATTCACTCATCATATCGCCGTCGTCGTCATACTCGCAGCTTAAAGAGCAGCGTAGCACGTCGTTCTCGATACAAATCATGACTTTAATCATTATTCCAAATATAAACCCATAAATGTCCACTGGACTTGTCCTGAGCATTAGTCGCCGGGTATGATGTGGGTCGAGTCACAGTTTCCATATCATCAACAGTAAGTACCTCAGTCTCAGATAAACATCGGCGTCCATCAACGAAACGCTTCATCGGAGTAGTGAGAAGACCGTTCAGGCAATCAAAGTAGAAGCAAAAAAGAGAGCATGGATGCATGTTTTTGGGCGGGATTGGATCATACAAACATAAAGTAACGACCGACAAAAACATGATCTACTGCTCGGCAGCACGCTTGCGGCGGAGGTCACGCTCTTCAGAGATAGTGAGCTTGGTACCCTTGCCCTTGGGAAGCGATATCCAGGGCTTGTTGCCCTCACCAATGACGAAGATGTTGGAGATACTGCGCGAAGCATGAGCAATGCTCACAAGCCGATTAGCCAGCAAAAAACGCACCGAGTAGCGAAAGTCCTGTCCAGAGAATCCTTCACATGCACAATGTCAAATTCACCCATGTGCTTCTCCCGGTGCACAATGACACCAGCACGGCCCATGTTGCGCCCACCAGTGATGATGCACATGTTGCCAGTGTCGAACTTGACAAAGTCAACGAGCTTGTTCTGCACAAGGTCGAACTTGACGGTGTCGTTCACGGCAACGGAGGGATCGGGGTACCGGATGGTACGGCCGTCGTGGGTGACAATGTGGGGGACACCTCGGGCACCGATGGCAACTTTGCGGACCTTGAGAAGCTTGAAGGTAGCCTCCTCAGGTGTGATGCGGTGGATGGCGAAACGACCCTTGACATCGTACAAGAGACGGAAATGCTCGCCGGACTTCTCAATGGAAATGACATCTGGTGACTACAGTTAGATCCAAAAGTGATTGGATATTCAGACATCATCGTACCCATGAAGCCAGCGGGGTAAGTTGCATCGGTGCGGACCTTGTTGTCGATTTTGATGAGGCGCTGTTTCACGATGGACAGGACCTCCTTGCCCGTCAGCGCGTACTTTAGGCGGTTGCGCAGGAAGACGGTGAGCGGCAAGCACTCGCGCAGCTTGTGAGGACCGGGGGAGGGACGAGGAGCCTGGAGAAAGCATGAGTCTACCGGCTTGTTTTGCGCCGAGAGTCAAGCCACGCACGTAGGTTCCGCTCAGCTTGTCCAACATCCAAGAGGAGGGCGCAGCAAGGCGCTTCAAGTGCTTTTTAGGTCCGCGAGCCTTCAACAAAAGTCAGCCTTCATCGGCCCCACGAAACAAGATCCACCACTCCAATCGCCAAGTTGAAGAGCAGAATCCTCGACTGACCATGTTGAATCACTACGTCGAGGCGTCGGTCGGTCTTGAGGGCGACGACTGGTCAAGAAAAGTCGGGGAATGGACGAGTGATGTGGCAGTGCCGGAGTGCCTATGTAAGCAGCTGCACAGTCACGCGCATGCACGATCAGCTGCTTATCACGAGACCATTAATTACATTTGGCTGGGAACATTTCGAACATGACAATTGGGCTCGCCACCCGGACATCTCGGAACTTTCCCGTTGGTCATCGTCCTTCGCTTTATGTTTTCTCTGCTCCTGTAATTCGTACAGCTGCTTGCTATTAGCAATGTTGCCTCGAGCACTAGCCGTGTCTGCTATCGTACGTGTTGATCTGGCTCTCGTTTCCGTCATAAATTTGAAAATCATCTGATGTTCTCAATATGCGCTCTCAAGCTTTCAGCTCATGGAAGGTGGAGGGGAATGTTGAGTGTACCGCCACAGACTTGACAGGTCTTCTTGAGAAGTTCTCACACCTTAGCTGAGTAATCGTGGTACGCATTTCTGCACCCATTCTCGCTTCAATCGAAAGTCAACGACGACTCGGAGGCGATTGTCTTTATCTATCGTCACTTTTTGTTATGTATGCGTCACCCGAGTTACTCTCCACGTGATGATCTGAATGCACATTTAGGTTTGGTGGCACAAATTGCTGTGAACCAGAGATATTTTATGTTCTCAACAGACCCCTTCGACCAGCAGTGCAATGACCGAAACCCGATTGATTGAAGGAACCTCGGCATCTGCGATTGGATCAGATGTGTTATTGATTAGATTATGTTATCGTACAGTAATCACCACATCAACAACTTTTCTCTACGCCCAAAATGTCGGTATACCCGTACAGCCAGCTTCTCTTCGCTGCATCCACAGCAGTAGCTATAACCGGCCCAGTCATCCAGGTTTTCAACGCGAGGTAGGTATAGTCGCCTCCTCCCTTAAAAGCGGACAAGGATCTGACTCGGAGCTAAGCACAGGCAGTCTTGTCGCGAGCACATCCGAGTCCTCGAAGAGCTCCCAAGGAGGCGAGGACATCGTGGGTGGTTCTGATGCCGGACCCATCCGGATGGCTGCGATAAACGACGGCGCGACACATCTCGCGACGGCTGCAGACGACAAGAATCTCAGAGTATGGAAGATTGGCGCATCGGGACTGGAGCTGCTCAGTGCACGGTACGAACCTCTGATGCATACCTTGCTCGTTGAAGCCGACCATGTTTGAATCACTAGCGAGCTGCCTAAAAGGCCGACGGCCTTGAAGTTCACGCGGGATGGACAAACTATACTGGCGTCTGACAAATTCGGCGATGTCTTTAGGTTGGTCGCTTTCGCGTCTTACCGCCGATACATCATTGACTTCCGGGATTTCAGCTACACCTTGGAACCTGTGTTGATCCCCGAGCCGTTACCAGAAGAAAGACAGAAGTCGCGTGCAATGTTGTCCCATGACAATCCGTCTGGAGGCACTCTCGTCCTGGGGCACGCATCTTTCTTGACCTCATTCACCCTTACCGCCGACGAGAGATTCATTGTAACTGCCGACCGAGATGAGCACGTTCGCGTCAGCTGGTATCCGGAGGGACACGTCGTCGAGCGATATTGTCTCGGGCACACCAAGTGCATCAAGCTCCTCTCCCTGCGTTCTTTGTCCTGATTATCCTCTGCACCTAGATTTGTCTCCGCGGTGCACATTCCTATCTTCGCATCGTCAGAACTCGTATCAGGGGGTGGAGACTCAAGTTTGAGAGTGTGGGATTGGATGAGTGGCAAGCTTTTACGTGAGATCCCCATTCTCGACACAATTGAGCCCTTCATTCGAGTCTTTCCCGGCAAGAAATCAAAGAGTCCGGAAGACGATGATGGAGAGGGCAACGCAGATGGAAAGAAGAAAAAGAAGAAAGGACGGAAAGCGAAGGTCAAGGACCGGGCAGCGGCCAGAGAAATCGCGATCCTCGTCGACGAACAACCAGAAGACGATTTGGAAGAGGAGGAAAAAGCTGATGGGGCACTGGATGAATCCTCGAACGAAAAAGTCAAGGTTCTCGTTGTGCAGAGAATCGAATCTCTGCGGACTCCAGAGGGAGGAAACTATCTAGTTTTCAGTGCTGTAGGGTGCGTGTCAACGATGCCGTGTCCACTGTACCGGGCAACTGACCAAATCCTCTTTAGTGCCACAGCCTTGTTCTTACACACTGGAGACTCAGTTCAACCCTTCGACTTTGGGCTGCCGGTGACCGATTTCAACCTGGCCTCTGACGGCTCGATTTGGGTGTGCTTGGACGTCTCATGGTCAGAAGCTGGATCGACGACTTCTGATGCGCTGGTTCGCGCTGTGCGCGTCGTTGATGGACGGGTGCGTACCCTTATTTCAAAATGGACTAACACTGACGTTTGCCAGCTGGTAGAAGTAGCTATGACCGATTCACATCCTCTTCTTGTCGGTCTGAATTCCGAAATTTCCAGAATTGGAGGTTTGTCAGTATCCACTCGTGGAAGCTCTAATTTGAACTTCTTCCTACAGCTACACCAGCTGAGATTGCATCTCTGGAGCTTTACCTACCTCTGATCGCGATGCCGAAAAACACAGAAGATTCGTCCGACCCGATGGATCGCACGCAGTTTGAGAGCAGTGCAAGCAAGAAGGAGCAGGCTCGCCTGAAAACTAAACAAGCAGTAGAACGAGCAGCCCAGAATCAGGGCGAGGAAAAGGAGGAGCCAGAGACCAAACGAGCACGATCACAGCAGGATGAAGATGTTGCCATGTAAGTAACATCCGAGTAGACTGCCGGACCCAGATTTGGAAATCACGCATTTTGAAAATTTTCGGCTGTGTCTTTGGTATTATGAATGTCCTAGAATTTCAACAGACGCAGGTCTGACGAAAGTCGATGCGCGAAGAGCCTGATGACGCGTGACCGTGACCAGTCCCATCACGTGCAAAGCTAAAAAAAATAGATTATACACGCGATATTGGAGTCGATGGCAAAATTTCCGATCTTTTGAAGATCATGACTCGGAGTGATTTTCCCCCCTATTTTGCAAGTGAATATTGCGTCGATATCATCAAGTACTGTACCTTCTGTGAACACTCTTCCTCTGACTGCAATTGTGACCTGTCACATCATATCTGGTCATCACGGATCTTTGGCAGTCCGCCACAACACCCAAGCAATGCAAAGCGGATGGTAGCTGGCTTATCTCTGAATTCGGACTCGTACGAAATGCATTCGACAGCAAACCTTGGGACAGAGCGACAAGGTCTGCTGGAAGCTTCTGAGGATGTGGACGTCGACCAGCCAGTCATACCCTCGGCCGAAGGTACGTGTCTTACCTCCGCCCTTTCTTCCTGGTTTGGAACACGCGGCAGGCTCCAGCAGGATGATGCTCCGACTCGGCCTCTCCTTCTTTCTCTTTGGTCTCATCAACAATGGTGCACACTTTGATTGTTTTCGACTTCTTCTCGACTAAAACTTCTCATAGTTCTCTACGTCATCATTCTCTCGGCCGCGCTGGACCTCGTTCCGCCGTCGACGCCCAAAGGCATCATCGCGTTCTGCAATATCGCACCGGCGCTTGCTGCCAAGGTCGGATGGCCGTATGTACTGAAAGGGAAGATAAGGTACACGACGCGGTTGGTCGGATGCTGTGCCCTCAGTGCTGCCGGCATGTTGGTGCGTATCCGAGGTTCTCTCACATACGCGGTCTCACGTCGTTTAGGTTGTCGCCTTCTTTGATAGCCTATTCATGCGTTTGCTCGGGATCAGCCTGGCGTCATTCTCGTCCGGTGCGCTGCAAATCCTGCCTACATTATTGTCCGAGTTGACTGTGACCTGTAGGCCTTGGTGAATTGACTTTCTTACAACTCTCGACGACCTATTCGCCTGCCTCTGTTGCTGGGCACAGCGTCGGATACTTCGCCTCGGGCACTGGCGCAGCCGGCCTTGTCGGTGCTTTCCTTTGGTGGGAAGTACGAGGGCTTGGTGTGCGTGTTGGTGTCGGTATGTCATCGGTCTGTGTTGTCCCTGCTTCTTGTGCCCGCGTCTCACTCCCCCAGTTCATGCCCTTGATCATTCCCGTGGCCTACTTCTTCCTGCTGCCAAAACCAGCGTCGTTCTCTGTTCCATCGGCATCTTATTCTCCACTTGCTACAGACGAGAACGGCGAACAGCGAGAAGAGGATGCCGTCAAACGACCTGTGGCTTTATCTGCAGCTGATAAATGGCAACTGGTGCGACCCATGCTAGTCAAGTACATGCTTCCGCTATGTGAGTGGTCACCGGAGATAAACAGGCTTGTGCTCATCCGTTCCCAAGTCTTTGTCTATCTTGTCTGTTGTCCTTTTCTTCCTTGCGATTAACGCTAATCCGCTGCCTGGAATAGTTTGAATACACTATTAATCAAGGAATCGCTCCTACCCTGCTCTATCCAGTTCCCGATCCAGAAACCCACTATCTCCTGAGCAAGCTCATCAAATCCGTTCGCGACTATTATCCTCTGTGGCAGGTGTGTTATATCTACCGTCATGTGGTATTTTTCTCACCAATTTCAGCTCGTGTATCAAACGACTGTGTTTCTGTCGCGTTCCTCGATCTCGATTGGTATTCCACCACTCCCTCCTCGATACTTGTCGCTTCCTGCCATCCTTCAAGCCTGCATCTTCGCTGTTCTCGCTTGTGAATCTGGTGTAGGGCTGTTCTCCGCAGACGTGGATGAGTCTTGGAGTATCACTCTCGTGTTCCTGCTTGTCAGCCTGGAAGGGATTTGTGGTGGCTCTGCCTAGTACGTCATTCTCTTTCCTTGCCGAGCAGTCGACCGACTAAGACGCCGCCAGCGTCAATGTGTTCTACCGAATCAATCAGGAAGACAGCTCTGGCGACGAGACGGAGTCCGATCCTGAGCGCACTCGACAGGAGCGAGAATTCAAGATCGGGTCTGTCGGCTTCGCTGACTCCAGCGGTATCTTGGCTGCGTCGCTGTTTGCCGTTCCGATGGAAGTTGGATTGTGTCGTGCCCAAGTGCAGCGAGGGAAGTTGCTGTGTAAGGGCTTGTAGATTAGATGTACACCTTGCTCATAGGTATCTGTATTATAGCTTCTTGCGATAAGGTGAGCAATCGCCAGTGACCAGGAAGAGAATGAGACCGGGATGGGGTGAATTGCAACCCTCATGGGGACTGGAAGCGGGGTCGATTACCTAAACTTTCACCCGCGGAATCAAATTGATTGGCCACTTCTCTTGACCTATTCTCTTCTTCACTACCAATTTCTGACCATGCCTGAGCCCCGCGCTGTGCCCACTTGAACGTCTTGTCCAACCACATAAATCATTCCTGGCATGAATCACTACCAACTCACCAATTTTGGCTGGTTTCATCTCTCAGGACTGTAGGGCTGTGGCCCAAAGTGAGCTACTTGACTCCCCTTACTCGATTGTTCCGCAAGTGACCGAACGAAGACAAAGAGCGGGTAGCTCTACGTGAAATGTTCCATTAGGTGTCGGATGAGGTGAACACTGGCAAGCTTGGGACAACAGCGGATGATGTCTCAGCTGCGAGCGCGGATGTAAAATGTCTCACCCCCTATCTCCGACTTTCAACATATAAGGCGGGCACAGGCGACAGAGGGCGCCTATCCACTGTTTTAACTGTTTAACACAAACCACCACTACCTACCATCTACTCTGCATCAGTGAGTCCTTCTCTCGCTCTCTAGATGGATCGTTCTCATCTGCTTCGAGCATTATCATGTCGCACACCACCACGTATGATTTCCCCGAGTCCATCGCTCCGTCCTCCTCGACCTCGAGTGTCTCATCCGACTGCTCGTCGAGCAGCACAAGCACCCTTCGAGACCGTCGAGGAGTGTCGTTGTGGATCTCGTTCTCCGCCGTCTTCCCGGTCGCTCCCAAACCCAAGGGAGCGCTCGGCCCGACCGTGAACAACATCCCCCGTCGTCGGAAGCGCAGTAGTGTCGTTTCCATCGACTCGCGGCCCGTGTCTGAGAACTCGTCGTCTCTCGACCGGGGCGGCTACTTTGCGTGAGGGGTTGGGTCGAAGAGAAGACGGAGATGGAGCAGTATGCGGTCGTGTGATGGAAATGAGGTAGGCTGTCTCCCGGCGGTAACACTTTTCCTTCATGCTGAGACTTTCCCCTAGCCATCCACGACACCAAATCAAAAGTCACACACTCTGAGACCCCAGTCCAGTCGGACTCTGCCGACAAAGAGCGGCAGCCTCGAAGCTATCCTAAGCGACGAGGCATGGGTTTAATCACCATACGTTCCATATGCTTAGCAAGCTGTGGTCGTTATAAATCATATTATGCATCCATCCACACAGTTACTTCATTAGGTTGAGATATCCATGGTGTGAGAGCTCTCTTTGAATCCACGCTTGAATTTCGAGAACGGAAACTCAAGTTCATTCTTGAGCAGTGTCGCAGACTACCATGAGCTTGTCCCCTTGATGCGCACACGGAACCTTGTGTATTCACTGAGCAACTAGAGATAGCTATATCCAATTAAATAACCCCGAACCGAACCTAGAGCCGCGAAGATACAAGTACAAGTACATACAAGTGTGACTATATCCTTGACATGAGACTATTCAGAGACACCAAGACCGTTTTGAAACTGCGATTTCGTGGGACCTGAGCAGGGCGGTGTCCACCCCAAACGACTGTTTCATCGCTGCAGCCTCTTCGGAGAAACAGGACATCTCTGGCGAGAAGAACGTTGGGGGAGACTGGAATATGCGCAGATAGCTCAGCCTCCCGGCGCCATTTCCTCGTCGTCCTCGGGTCGCAACGAGTGTTCTGAACGCGTCGAATGTCTGGCAATTGAGTTCGGACGAATACACGAGCGATTCGAGAGACGGGCATCGTTCTCCCGTATTGAGACTCTGCAGAAGCTCGAGTCCTTCTTGCCCGTTGGTGGAGTCGACCAGTAGGAACTGCAACCACGGGAGGCAGTCTAAACACATCGCAAGCAAGTTGGACGCAGTCGCTTTGGTGCATTCCCACATCGAGAGCCGGCGGATTGCGGAAGGGGAGCTTTGAGACAGGAGATATCGCACAAGCGAATCTGCACTCGAACGGTGCAGGCTTAGGTCCTCGACCGCCGGCAAGTCCAAGAACGGCAAGATGTCGGTGTCGGTGTCGTGGGTGTGGTAGCAAAAGCGCCTGAGATAAGGCAGCTTGATGCTGCCCGGCTCGAAGTACTGTTGATCGGGTGCGACATTCCATCCGTGGCGCTTGGCAGTGGAAAGCACACACTCGATCAGGTGGGGCGTGCAGCTGAGGACGTTCAGAGCCTCGGTGCGCCCGAGATACGGCACCTCCAGATGCGTCAGCTGTGCAAGTGGCACTCCACTCAAGCGAAGCAAGTTCGCGGATTGTTTGTGCTGCCTGAAGCGCAGCTCTCGAAGGTTGTGTGCGGAAGCTAGGACGGCGGGTATAGCACCAGGGACACTCCCGATGATTTCGATGGTGCGCAACTTGGGGAAGGAAGCTCCGCTCAGCACGGAGTCGAGGGCATTAACCCGTCGCGGCCAGATATTCGACCCCGCGCAGGATTCGAAGTTGAAGCGCAGTGATTCCCATCTGCCAGAGAAGCTCAGAAGGAGGTCAAACAGATCATCGTCCGGCCTCCCCCAAAGCAGCACATGTGCGCCCAACTCCGTGCAGCCCGAGATTCTGTCCAACTGCACTTCCAGCATCTGCCGGCGGGTATGCAACATAGCTTTGGGTACCCTCTCGGTCAGAGTAAGCACAGACCACAGGCCGGGATGTCCCAGCGCTGCCTGCCGCCAAGCCCTACAGACGACGCCCACAGCCCAGGGCGCGCGGAAGTCCGATTCCCAGGACCGTTGCGCGAAAGCGTCCGCAGGAGGGTTGATCAAAGAGAAGATGTGCTGCAGGATCTCGGTGGGGAGGTAGCGGATGGGTGACAGTATCGCGCGATGCCGGGCAATAGATTGGAGCGTCGCGTCTCGTCGCGATAGCGCCATGGCAAGAGAGGCATTGAGCGCGGTAATCTCTGTCTCGACAGAGGCTAGGACAGCCTGGGCGGAGGTAAGGAGATCATAGGTCGACTGGCACTCTGACGACGAGTGTGGGGGCTCATTCGAGGTGAGCAGGTGAGTGAGGAGCACGCTCATGGGGAAGGAGAAGTAACGGGAAAGAGAGAGGGAGTCGCACGCCTAGTGTTTCAAGAGTCATTTCTTGTGCCCGTGAAGTAATCATCAGTGATCTGGACCAGGTGGTAGCGAACTTCTGGCAACAATGATAGGTCACACGCAGACGGAAGACAGAAGCTAGGAGGATAATGCAATGTGGGTGTGAGCCAGATATGGAGGACCGCCTCGGACCAGCCCGCTCAGTAAGCAGCAGGAAGTCCGGGTGTGATTTGAATGGCACGGCGTTCAAGCAAAGCTGCGAGCACGTGCTCGCGACCTTCAGCACTGCCACGAATTGAAAGCGATCGGCCGCTCAGACCTGCAGCCCGGCGTCTTTGTCAATTTCCCCGAGGGGCCTCGGGACTCCCTCGATCTTGCGGCAGCCTCTTTGCGCTTAGACCCCTGCGGAGTTCGGACAGGATTGTCTGGGAGACTCACTCGGGTTTCGGTATGGACACCAAGTGTCATCACCTCAGGTGCATCTGTCACAGATGACACCCCCCCCTCTAAGGCCCTCGGAAGTGGTCAAAATCGGGGCCTAACAGGCCCCACTATTCCCAGATGGGTCTGCAGCTCCCGGCCATTGTAGAGGCCTGTCAAGCCATCAATTGCAATCACTGTATTGCCTACCCATCTGCACGGGCCAATGTTTTTGACAATCTCCGTCATTTGCATGGCCTGTTCAGGAATATATTGCAATTGTTTCTGTGTCATGTACATGCAATATATAAGCTTTTTTGCCTACTGATCAGCATAGGACAATGTTTTTGACAATCTCCATCATTTGCAAATGAATCTGTATTGCGTACATACATTATATAAGCTTGTATTGCCTACCCATTGCCATAGGATAGTGTTTTTGACAATCTCCGTGATTTGTGTGGACTCTTCAGGGATAAATTTTGATTAATTATATATTATGTACATGCAATACATAAGCTATCACTCTGTCTAGGATGTTGTTGCAAGCATCTAACCCAGTACGCAGTGGCATCTGTATGCCAGCATTTACTATCAGCTCTTTGAATCATATCCTAGAATCAAAGGCAACACAGTAGCCATTGAAAAGGCAGCAACAGGAACCTATTACATCGAAGAATGTGTGTAAAGGCTAGATGTAAATCAAGATAATGTAGGTATGTATATACAAATGTCATGCAGCAGTCCATAGATACAACATCAAAACGTAATGCACCCTACTTGAACAGTCCCCGGTCCTCAAGCCTCTTGCGCTGCTCCGGGGTCATCCCCTTGAGAAGGTTGATGAGCTGAGCGGCGCCATCAGCATCCTCTGGACTGAGATCTGCCAGCGGTGCATGATGCGGTGCCGCAAATGCTCTCGTCGGCGGAGGCATCTGCGGTGGAGCTGGGTGGAAGGAGTCCTTGGATGGACTGTACTCAGACCTATAGCCCGGAGGGCCAGACGGCAGGGGATATCCGCGAGGAGGATACCCGCGTTCATACTGATCGTATCCCCGACCAGGTCCACGCTCATACCCATGCTCATACCCCCGATCATACCCCCCATGCTCATACTCCCCACGATCATAACCTCCATATCCCCTGTATCCCCCATAACCTCCATATCCATCGTATCCACCGTACTGAGGGCGACGAGAATCATAGTCGCTGTCGTAGGGGCGGGGGTAGTCGAATTGGTCACGGTAGGATGCATCTGCAGACGCATTCCACCTGGAATTCGATGACCCAGCCTCAGATGGAGGACGAGACGCTTGTCGGGAGGGTCCAGCCTCAGGCTGGGGCGGATGTCGAGGTGCGAGGTGAGAAGGACCAGCCTCAGGTTGACGGTCTTGATGACGCAGATGGGAATGTCGATGCATCTGTGGTGATGCTGGAGTGAGCCACTGACCCTGGTTGGGTCCATGGTGGATCGATCCAATGTGTTCCCCTCAATGGACATCAAAGACGGAGCCAACCCGCTCACTACCAGAAGGAGCACAAGCCACAGTCTGGTAGTAGTCACCACCATCATCGGGCATCTGCAACTCCCTCCGCAGATGTGCACTTTCGGCCTTCAAACGTGCAGTCGTGACCTTGAGGTGCTCGTTCTGAGCACGCTGCTCCTCGATCTGAGCACGCTCCTCTGCAGGCGTCCGGTGCGGCGGCTTGGGGTTGAAGGGCTCAGCGTTGTCAGGCCCAGGCAGATCCACATCATCAACGTCCTCTGACTCAGGACCGTCTTGCTGATGGATCTCTACCACCGGTCGACCTCCTCCACCTTGCTGCTTCGAGGACTTGCTGGTCCTTGGGGTCGCCTTCACCTTTGGCTTGGGCTTGGGGCGTTCCAGCTTGGCGGGGGGAGGGGAAGTGTTTGCAGCGGCAGCGGCAGGCTTTGCCTTGGCACCAGTACTGAGCTTCGCTTTGGCAGCAGCAGCAGACGCACGTCTTGGCCATGGAGAAGGGACCGGAGGCTCTGGGAGCTCCTCCTCTGCACGCTCCTCAGCATCCGAGGTGATGACCGGGGCAGAGATGAAGCGCTGCTTCTTTTTCGGTCGCGCAGATGCATCCATGGGCGGCTCTGGTTCATGGACAGGCGGCTGTGGGGAAGCAGAGACATCTGCAGCGGGCTCGAGGTTGTTGGAGGGAGTGGCTGGAGAAGTGGTGGCAGCGGCAGCAGCAGCAGCGGTATGGGAGCAATGAACACGAGATGAGTGTACAACATCTGCGTGTCGCTCGGCGTCCAGCTCCTCCAAATCCTCGGACTCAGCAGACTCCTCCTCGTTGTCCGAAATGCGCTTGCGCTTCCCACTCACCACCTTCATTGACTTCTTTCCCTTCTTCACCTGCTCCTCTGCCTTCTCCTTCTTCACCCTCTCCTTCTCCATCTTCACCTTCTCCCTTGCTGCCTTCGTCTGTGCCCGGGTCCTCTTCTTTGCTGCCTTCGAGTCCAACTCCTCGATGTAGCCGACGCCGGAGCCAGCTAGCCGGAACATTTCATTGGGGTCACCGCTTTCCTTGGTGTGGAATGGCATTTTCTCCATGATTGGGCCCTTCGAGTGGTTAAAGTCGAGGACAGCAAGGATGGGGGTACCGTTGGCAAGCTTGCAGGGAACGAACTCCCCAAGTGAGGTGGTAGCGTAGGCAAGCAGTTCCTCCTTGGATGCATCTGCAGCAGGCTTGCGGCGGCGGTCGATCGAGGCAATAGCAATATCATCTGCAGATAATGAGTCAAGGTGTGGACAGATGTATCAGCTTCACAACTTACCTGCCTTCAGCTCACACCACTCAAAGAACAACCCAAAGCAATGGTCGTTGACGTCCGAGCTGTACCGCGGCTCCATCACCTGGTCGAACTCCTCGATTGAGCCCATCTCAATCTGCCCAGTTCCCTGTCCTCCGCTGATCTTGCATGACTGCTCCTTGTTCGGAGTCCGAGTCCCAGCTGGCCAGTTCCTGCAGCGAGCACCGAGGCGCAGGCAGAAACTGGCCAACTCTTTCCAACGAACCTTCGACGATGATCCCATGAGGGAGAAGTGGAGGTAGAAGAAGGCGAGGCTGACCAGATTGATCCGCCAAGCCAGTCTGCGCTCGATTGCGGGAGCTCGAGCCAAATCCTTCTCGACCTTGGCGGCGTTCTCGTCGGGCTGGATGGGCTGCAGGTGAAGGTCGCGAATGGGATCTGGTCCCTTGTGAACGGGAATTCGGACGCCGTTTGGGAGAACCCAGTATCCCGCCCGGTAGTCTGGGAAGTCGAGCCCAGTGGCTAGCACAAGCGGGATGCCTCCAGTGCCATCAGGGACACCTGAAACAGGACCAGCGCCAACATCTGGCTCTTTGTCGGCAGGGTAGGATGGGAGCAACGAGAGGTTGGCTCCATCGTCCTCTGTGGTGGACGGCGGGAATGGGGGAGGAGGGCGAAGTCTTGGAACAGATGGATCTGCGAGAGGATCAGGGCGGACAGAGACGTTTGCCACACTGACAGAAGTTAGCCTGGTTATCCTCGAATACACAATGAATACTCATCTGGCGAGAGCGCGGGCAGCACTGCAAATGCCCAGCTCAGTGATTTGCGCCTGATCAAGCTGGCGGAGCTGAGAAGCAAACTTGTAGTAGTCAGCGTCATGTAACAGATGCCTGCTGTAGCAGACTCACCTGGTCTTTCTCCAATGCCGGCGTTGCCACCATGTTCGAGAGCTTGCCATCGTTCACAAGGCCGCCGGTAAGGACAGCAAAGCCCTCGAAGCGAAACAGATTATGCCCATACTCCAACTGCGAAAAGACTGATGAGAATGCATTATGAACGGATGCCTCTGTCCCACTCACCAACTTGACAAACCGCCGAACCCAATCCGCGTACTTCCTGTTGCGCTCACCGTTCGTCTGCTTCAGTGTCACCGCCTGAAGCAGTCGAAATGTCGCAAGTCCCTCCTTGGGATCGTCCATAGTGGCCATGAAGTGCATGTAGCACTTCTTGATGAGTTCCGGATCGTCAGGCAGCAAGCCCTTGCTGAAGTCGAAGTCGGGATAGATGGGTCTGCCAAGGATTTTGGCGTTCAGATAGAACATCTGCGTGAACGTGTTGAAGTCGTTCACAGGGCGCAGCGAGGGAAGCTTGAGCTTCTTGGCAAGGAGGTCGGAGATCTGGTCCATGCCCAGAAGATGCTTGTTTCCAATGAAGGACAGCATCTGGAGGAGCCAGCTGAGGTCGTTGTCGAGCACCTTTTGCTTCTCCGCAGTCAGCCTTTCGCCGGTGACAAGGGACTCGATGTTGATGGGCTCGAAGGCGTCCACCTCCAGCTCGTTGCCAGAGCCTTCCTGCCTCTCTTTCCCCTTCCCCTTTTCCTTCCGCCTCTCCCTCTTCTTCTCCTCGTTCTCGTCCTCCTGCTCTTGACCGTCCTCCTCCCCGCCCTCCTCGCCGTCCCTGTCCTCGTCCTCCTCTCCACCCTCCTCACTGTCAATCTCAGCCTCCTCCTCGTCCTCCATGACCAAATCGCTGGTGACATCATCTGCCTGCTCAGCAGTGTCGTCAAGATCCATCTGTGCCCCGCCCTGAGCCTTGGAATCGCTGGGGAGAGTGGTGATGGCAGGAAGGATGGGGGATGCGGAACGCAGAGCGGTTTGGGCCGCTTTTTTCGACCTTTTATGCTTCCAGACGTCTGGAGTGCGCTGGTTGAGCGGGTTGGCAGCTGGGGCTGGAGTTTTGGGAACAGGAGTGGGAGTCTCTTCGCGTTCGGGTGAGGTGAGCATGGTTTGGGCGGGGGTGACGGTTGTCTAAGAGAGAGGGAAGAAAAAGTTTGCGTGAGAATCCGTGGTCAGATTGATGTGATGAATAACGGACCTGTGCGTTCCATCCCTCCCGCTCTGCCCGAGCCTCCCGACGCTTCTGCATCTGCATAACCTGCCGATTGAACTTGTTTGGCGAAGTAGCCATCGCTGGCCGCAGCACACGATCAGCCCCACCCCCGATCTGAAACTCCTCTCTATCAGCGTGCTCTATCTCCACCATGGGCATCTGTTCAGTGTGCGCCGCATCGAACTGCGGCATTTCAAAGGCCGGGAAGTCTGGATCGAGGCCCACAATGCCATCAAAGTTCATGTCATCGTATGAGTTGTCGAAGTAGCTGCTGGGGGAAGATTGCGGGAAAATGGAGTCAGGCTCCATGGGCTCGGGTGTTTTCAATAGTCCACTCCTGCGAGAATGAGCGGACGCCTCGGGATGGCTTTAGAGAATACACACATGTGGTTTGACGCGTTTTGATGCGTAATTGACACGCGTTGGACAAGTCTTTTTTTGTCCGGGCCCAAGATCTGAATTTCTGAGCTGTGGATTCTAAACAACTGATCAACGAAAGCAGACATTCATGATGATAACCTACTTTGTTTCTGAGCTTGTTACAGGCTTGTAGTGGTAGGAGTGGAAGAGAGAGGGTGGATTGCGGGGAAAATTGGTGTGCATGTGACTTGATCAATTGATCATTCAGTGCCAAGTGCTGGTACAGATGGGTCGGGTTAGCTCATTCTGGACGCGGATGAGTCTGGATGTGAGCAAAACCAGATGCATCCGAACACTTTTTCAACACAGATGTATCCGTCTGGCACAATGATGTAATGATTTTCATTGATCGCTTCGTCAAAGCGCCGGATTACGTCTTCCGAGCAGCCAATGGGCTGGCGTATAACGAGCAACATTTACAGAATCAATTTATACAATTCATACAAGCCTTACATTCACTCGAAAATATCCGGGATGAGATCAGGGAGGTTGCCCGCATAACATATGAAAGACCCAGAGTTGCTAGTACCGGTTGAATTTGCTGTGCTCGAAAACACCCAGATGACTAGACGAAGCACATTAGCAGCTTGTCTTTAACTCTCACCTTGATCAATGGGCCGTTCTGCCCTTCATTTCTCAGCCTCGGAAAAGGCAGCTGCTAGTCGCCAGAGCAGTCTCAAGCATTCCCAGAAACTCTCGTGTGCTCTCCCTCTGTTCTGGGACGATCGGAAGAGACTTACTTTTTTTGATGTGCAGTGTAAAGCAGCAGCGTTCTGAGCGTACAACCTCTGTGCATCGCCGGAAAGGTGCCCGGAAACTCGCATCCTTGTCCTCTGCACCTCCTCCGTCCTCTGCCATGCTCGAGGAGGCAGCTCTGCCACTGCCCCAAGAACATCATCTGTACCAACAGGCTCTTGCCTCTCCTGACGCTCTCGATGAGTCCGACCTTCAACGCTGGAAGTCAGCTCCGCCGTTTGTAGCAGACGACAATGACTCTGATTGTCTGTCAATGGATTATCTCTCGTACACATCATCTCTCTCTGCCGTGCTGCATGGTGTTCGACTCCGGGAGCAACGTGCACGAGATCTCAAGCTTCGGCAAGCCTTCAGAACGCGCCAGAGAACAGCAGCATTGAGCTCTCTCACTGCAGAGGTTGTGCGGCTGCACCTGGATTGGGAGGCCGCCCAGCTTATGCTTCAGAATGAGCACTATCATCCTGTTTTGCACCCTCGTGAGCTGTCCATGCTCAAGCATCATTGTCACTGGGTTGCACGTACGATCGTACATCTGCATGGATTGAAATTCCTTGAATAGAGCGCTTTTAGGATTGTAGAGCTTTGACAACGTCTTTATGATCCCAGATCTATTCACAATGACCATACAAGTTCATCCCTCATCTTAATGTCTTTGAATGAAAACAGAGAGGTGACATTCTAAATCATGGACAATGTCTGTATGTGTTCTGCAAAGATGTGCCTGGCCCTCTGAAGATCTGGCTCAGCCAGTGCCGGAAGATGATGCCCTCTCATAAATGCACCCATTACTGCCAGGATCCAAACCCCACAATCGTAACCATTCGTTTATTTTGGTTTTCCCTACATTTGTGAGTCAGCAAGAGGAATTTCGATTTGAGACCAAAATACATACCGGTGTGAACAGAGAATATGCGTGCCAATCATGTTCTGAAATGTTCAACCGCTTCCCGTGCCGGTTTGCAAGGGCGGTCATGCGTGATATGAGCAAAACAAACTCCTGCAGATGCATCAGTACGAGCAGAATTCGAGTGAAAGAATGACTGACCTGGAGTTCCTTCCGGAAGCGGCTGCGCCCAGAGAGACTATCAAAGAAAAAAATCTTCTGATCGGGGATAGAGGCCACCGCAACAACCCAGTGCTGCTGGGAGGCGCAATGGATGGGGAGAATCCAGAAATCCTTCTCCCAGTAGCAAAGTGGTGACAGTTCAGCCCACATGAACTTGTCTCGTGCTTCCGAACGGATCCGTGGAAGCTCATAAGTTGACAGCAAAGCACAGCGACGAGCATGCACATTGTATGGACTGTGTTCTTGACCAAACATTGCAAGCATTGAGGCGGCTACACCATTGATGCCATGCCCACTGAGAAGGCCAGTCGGATTGATAAACCTGGCCAGATCCTCCGCCAGAATTGTCAATTTCTTGAGCTTGTGACCGCGAACAACAACATGTGGGACATCACCACAATATTTGTTAAGATTGTTGTTGCGATGCTCGAGCTCTATGAACATGGTTGATTCGTATGTGATTTCCTAACCATGGATGAGTACATTGGAATGCATTTAGAGCAGGGCTTACTGGACATTCCCAATGTATTGCGACATTGTCATCTGATTGCGCAAATGCAGATGTATCCTCGTCATCATCAAGATCGACATTCTGCAGGGTATCCTGCATTTCAAGGATCTCGATGTCATCATCAAGGTTCTCTTCAGGGATTTCTTCGACCAGTGCAATGTCCGCTGATGCAAGATGAAGATGAGCACTTGCGCTCCCATCAATATTCCCAGCAGATGCATCCAGATCAGGGCTAGGTGATCGTGCAGATGAGATGATGGCATCAGCAGGATTGTTAAGATGACTGGAACTCTGCGGAACTGGCACGATTTCTGGCGTTGATAGAGGCCGATGATTTTCAGCACCGAGATTTGGGCGGCTGATGTTGGTCTGCGTGCTATGTTTTGATGCAGATGCAGCTGCACTTGAGAACCCAGACATGAATATTGTTCCACCAGAGAAAGGGCTCAATGTGTATTGTCCAAAGGACTTCCGCCACCGTTTAGCCAACCTTTCGAGATCCGTGGCCCGGAGCTGAAGGAGATGCTGAAGCAGTGGATCTCCTGCTGCCTCATGGATGCATCTGGATACGAGTGCTGTCTCTGCCAGGAGATACAGCTCCAGGTTGGCACGCTCTCGGTTGAGCCGTGGCATCTCCTCTGTGCATCGATCAACAGAGTGCATGTTTTGAATCCCATCCCGAACATCTGAGTCGTCCAACCAATGCGGAATTGCTCCAGATGATGGTGTGACGCAGACATCCTCGTACAGTGTTAGGTCATTTTGGAGAGACGCTAATCGTGTGGGTAGTGGGTGGGGAACAGGTAGATGACAGCCTGCGGGGAATTCCTCCTCGGCTTTCTCGCACAGCGAATTGAAACGCTCAATCAGGTGATAGAGAATTGGATGTCACTTAGCCATTGCCTTTCGAGTCTGTTGGTGAAACTTTGTTCCTGGAGCGAGTCAGTAGGTTGCTGAAGGTTCGCAGAAAATTGCGCACCCAAACTCTCCTTCTTCCCACCTACAGCACGATCTAAAGTCTCCATCTCATAAAATGACCCAACTGCACGCTTCCGGATGTTTACTTTCAAGTCATGCATTCTAAGCAGCAACTTGACAAAGTTTGCCGGCAATCCAGAGAGCTGGGGAAATGTGTGCCGCAGATTAAGCGATGCATACAGTGCATCTGCACGGTCACTGAGCTCCATGTGGGTGTCCTCCATCTCATCAAGATGACACAACGTCTCCACAGATGCACCTGAGGTTCTAATTGACTTCTTCACATCCAGAATGGCGGTCTCGACAGACACGATCTGATTCTGGAGAGTAATCACTTTGTCCAGATCTTTACGGAACAGCGCAGATGCCTCTGTACGCACACATCAGAGCCAAAAAAAAGACGAGGTATATTTGCCTACTGATGTTTCGGCTACTCTGCGCCGCTTTTTGTGCCCTCCACTGAGATCGTAGCTCTCTCTCTGACACACGACAGGCATGTAATGTCTTGATGCTCTGTCGGTACTTGGGGAGAAGATTGGCCTGCTGGCAATCCAACCAATCCCCGAGCTTCTCAGCGCCCTCCTGATTCACGAATGCGGTGTATTCATCTAGCATCCAGATACGACGAGATTGCTGTTTGGAACTAGTCAGAAACCATCATCTTGCATGCACAAAAGAGAGCATACCCATTGTTGCCGGGTCAAATTAATCAGTTTCCGGACCCGCAACCAAAAGCGTTCAACACCTTCCATGTCAGACAGGCCCATTCCGACAAAGAATCTTGGACTATACACCAGCTGACAATCCCATTCGTGTCCAAATGAATGCATGATGTTGATCACAAATGTGATTCGCTCCCGAAGAGTTGGAGAAAGCAGTGGGTACTGCACAGATGCATCAGCATTGAGACTTGACTGTTGTAAAGACAAACCAAGTGGCACGAATGATCCATCTGACATCCAATATCGTAGGCCTGTAAGATTGTTGCCACTGGTGGAAGAAGAGATGCGACTTTGTCCAAAAGAGCAACCAGATAACACTGCTGCTCTCCTGGGGTATCAATGTTTGCCAGAAACAACACCTGTGAGTGGCGACAGGTGAGAACAAAGGCACCAGTTGAATCAAAGTGCTTTGGATCAGCCTTCTGCTTGCTCTCGTTGGCAGCATCAAATGAACTCTGACATGAGTCGAGAGCAGCCTGAGGAATGGCAGGTTTGAATTTGCGAGGCGGCTTGGCTCTTGCAGCAGTGATGCGCGCACGAGTAGTTTTCATCTCTGCGTCACTCAGGAAGTATGCTGGGGAGAAGGGAATGGGACCATCTCCAGAGGAGCAAAGATGTCGTAGGCTGAAACACCCATCTCCTCCCAGCTGCACATCACCACCTCTGCCAAACGTTCAGAGAAGTTTATGGCCATGAGAAAATGCACTCACTCGCTCAGCGATCTTCCCCATTCCTCCAGTGCAAAGCAGGCAGGACACCGTTCTCATAATACACGATTGGCACGTCCTTTGGTCAAATGTGTCAATGCAGATGGGTCCTCAGACACGTGGCCAGCATCCAAGGCTGGTGCCTGCTCCGCTCCGCCAGACGGCGCAGACTCCACACCTCCAAATTCTGCATCAAGCTCAGCTGCCAATGGCATCTCAGCATTTTCAAGCTCAGCTCGTCTCTCAGCTGCCACTGCAGATGGGTCGGTATCAACATCAATCCACTGGGCTTTGAACTAACCTTTTTCCTCCACTGCTATGACATCTTCTGTTGCTCTCAGACACACTTCAAGTCGCTTCTCCAACCGCGAACAAACCAGAGATGAGTAGAGAACAGCATGTGACAGCACGTTGCGGAAGGGATCATCAATGTGTTCTACAGCTGTCTGCAATGTTTCTAGTAAGAGCCAAAAGAAATGGTACTATTGAGTGCTCTTACCGAATCAAATCCCAGCTCAAATCCCCGACGCCGATATACTGTAGCCAAGGAGGCAGCTAGGGCTGTGATTGCATCGGCAGATCGCTCGAAGTAGGCTCGGTACAAGTCCAAAACGTCGAGAGAAACTCCTATCCGTGGCTTGACAGGAGTTCCCGGAAATACCCCATTCTCCAAGAGCAGCACGGGCAGGCATTTGCATCGGCACAGACGGATCTGCACCCGACTGATATCTGTCGAGAGTCAGGTTCACTGGTCACTATGGAGCGGGAAAATGTTCACGGGTGGGATATAGACAGCTTATTGACACAGAATTTATGCCAATAATGCATTGCGAGCATACAGCATCAAGCGAAGAACCAATTGTTGGTCGAACTGCTCCATGGTATGCACAATGAAAATCGAGAAACACAGATTCCAACTTGGGCAAAAGAGTTTCCCAATTGTCTGCAGCCTGTACAGCACGCTCATTGACTGCAGGCATTGGCTCATCAAGATTTCCATTTGAGACCAAAGGCTGAACAGATGCATCTTCTGAGTGCTGGCTAGGATCCCCAGAATGATCAGGAAGTGTCTGTGGCGGCTCAAGAGGCTCGGAGAAGTAGGGATTATCCTCTTCTAGTGTCTGGGAAGGGCTGGGAATTGAGGGGAGTGGTTTCCTGGCAAGCAGTGCATTAAGCCGTGCTTGCAGATGCGCCGCCTGAGTGCGCTTATGTGGGTGTATGTCAACCACCTCCCTAGCAGCCTTCCGTTTCATGGGGCTGGTGCTAGGTACACCAAAGGGCAGCTGAGCAGTGGCGCGCTTGCGAGAAGCCATTGAGGTTTTGAAGAGAGGAATATAACAGTAAAATTGATGGCAAGCTACCGGATTAGGAAGGTACTAGAAGCTCACGTCACTATATTGATCGCAGAAGCGCAGACCCATCCGGACATGACGGGGCCTGTTAGGCCCCGATTTTGACCACTTCCGAGGGCCTTAGAGGGGGGGGTGTCATCTGTAACAGATGCACCTGAGGTGAGTGTCATATGCTTGATCGCTCAATCGGCCGACGTTTACGGAATCGGTTGCCAAAACCTCAGACGGTGTCCCCATGCAATATATGCGGGAAACACCACCATGTGACTTATTACAGTGGTGAGCTCACGCGCTATACGGCCGACGCGCTAAATAGGATAGATCACAATTTCGAACAGGTAGTTATGGTTTGCATTGTGATAGATACAGTCCAAGACAGTAGCGACGTAGCGAGAGATGCATCGTCACTAGCAAGGACACGGAAAAGTGTGACCAGCTGGGCTTCAATGAACGGACAGATAGTCCGTCAGAGACAGACCCTTGAGACCATCATGGCTCATTAGCTGGTGCCGTGGAGGGCTGTAGACTAATGTAAGCGTTTGTGACACTGACCGAATAAATGGCTTACCTGGTGCCCATCACACGACCGTAAACAACTCCGTATCCGTCCCCCCATCGACCCGACCCCTCACGCAAAGTAGCCGACCCGGTCAAGAGACGATGAGTTCTCAGACACGGGCCGCGAGTCGATGGAAACGACACTACTGCGCTTCCGCCGCCGGGGGATGTTGTTCACGGTCGGGCCGAGCGCTCCCTTGGGTTTGGGAGCGACCGGGAAGACGGCGGAGAACGAGATCCACAGCGACACCCCTCGACGGTCTCGAAGGGTGCTTGTGATGCTCGACGAGCAGTCGGATGAGACACTCGAGGTCGAGGAGGACGGAGCAATGGACTCGGGGAGATCATAAGTGGTGGTGTGCGACATGGTAATGCTCGTAGCAGATGAGAACGACGGATTCAGAGAGCGAGAGAAGGACTCACTGATGCAGAGTAGATGGTAGGTAGTGGTGGTTTGTGTTAAACAGTTAAAGCAGTGGATAGGCGCCCTCTGTCGCCTGTGCCCGCCTTATATGTTGAAAGTCGGAGATAGGGGGTGAGACATTTTACATCCGCGCTCGCAGCTGAGACATCCCCAGTACCGGAGATCCGCAAAGCGTGATGGTAGCTGAACGAGACAGGTCTAGGAAGCAAGTACGATGGATGCGGACGCCATAGTCCCGAGCAGAATCAGGATGGTCGTGGCTACACAAGCCAAGGATGCTAGTCGAGGGCGCAAGAGCTTGTTTATGCCGCGCGGATCCCGTGAAGCTCCATGGAAGCAAACCGGCCCCTCTCCACGCACTCCGGACATTCAACTGAGAGCGAGCGCGCTGGCACTTTCGATGACGGTGAGAAGAACGCCCGAAAAAGGAAACTGTTGTGCTAACCTACACGCACTCAAGCGTCGACACGTCTTCTTTCTTGCGCTCACAGCTGCTGTTTTCAGAATCTCTCCAATCCCTGCGACATTCAAAACCAGCTCCTTGTCGAATAATTCCTTTGCGATATGACCCTCCGTCCTCAGCCCAAGCTCATTGCTGAATCATCTTCGCTCCTTCTCAACGACACTGACAAGTGACTGTCGCTACGCTGGAGGGCAAGACTTGGATCTCGGCAACTGGTCATACATGTTGGATCGCCGTGTATCGAACATCAATACGCCTGGGCCCCTCTCTGACTCCCCGCGCATCGAGAGAGAGGTGGCGATCAGAATGATTTTCGGTCATGGGCATACACAAGCGCTCATCAACAAGGGCGCGCTTTGATGCTCCAAGCTCGATCCATTGATGGCTGATGCGCGCCACTCGCCAACACTTGCCATAAAAGGCAACTTTCTAAGCGGATTGGTTCAGAAACTGTGTCTCGATTTCCTGAAGCTACGCATAATGCATTGTCAAGGGCTGACTGGGTCGACTATAAGTAGTGGTGCGCATTTCATAGAATGTCGTTGCACCTCAAGAACCTCAAGAACACCTCTGCTCACCCCAAGCTCACTCACAAGCACTATGCTGTCTCCCATTTTCCGTCTCATTCCTTACCTTCTTCCTTCGCCCGCCACACGGGGCTCGGCAGGCAAGAAAGCCTGCCGCGGCCACCAGAGCTTTCGGCTCGGGGGCCAACACTCCTTTGCGCGGAAGCAAAAACTCCTGTCCACCCGCACTCGGTCTTCGGGCGTGTCCGCTGCGCGCTCGAGCGCGTCATCCCTCGACAGCCATGCCACCCAGGAGGTGGCCGCGCCCACTCCAGCCGCTGCTCCTGCTGCCGCTCCTGCCGCTCCTACCCCCTCCCCTGCGCCCGCGCCCGTCGTCCCAGCCCCGCTGACACCGGCCCAATCTACTCAAGCTGAGCGTGCACGACATGTTTTCCTCTTGTCGGAGCTCGGACGGCTGCAGATGATGCAGTTCAAGGAGCGCGCCTTCCATCCGGTCCCTCTCGCCATGAGCTCCTTCGCCTTGCAGCCTCAATCTTCAAGGCGGAGCAAGCCGAGCCCTTTCTTCCACACACCCTCGTCGCTTCCGCGCAAGTGGTCAATAGCCGCTCGGTCGGCTGTGCGGCAACTGCAGACCGTCGCCAGATCCAGTGCCGCGCTCCCTGATGGTCCGACTTCCCCGTGGGCTTCTCACCAGCGTCAGTGGACCGGCATCAAGGCCATGCTGCGCCGCCCATACAGCTCTAATCTCAGCGAGATATCTTTCCCTTGGCCCGTCTACGGGTTCCACGTCTCCCCCGAGAACATCTTTATGTTCATCCTGGGTGTCAAGACCCGGTATGAGATGGCGCGGATCCCGATCCATCTCTACCGCCGACTCGTCGGGGAGCGGAACAATTGGTTGATGCTTTGCAATTCCCGCCGCTTCTCCGATCCCACTGTTCTCTCGCATTTCGCTCTGGTCATCGACGCGATCGAATTTGCCATGTCTCTCTACCAACCTTGCTAGGCATCCAGTTCGGGTATATGTCTTAGAATACTGTAGTATGGTTTATGGGTATGGCTTTATGTCCCTTACGATCGATCTTTTATTCTTAAACTACCGATGTTGTCTGTAGCACTCCTGCACGCGACAATCAACGTTCAATTACTTACATTGCGCAGAAAGAGCGTAAGTCCTGGCGTCTTACACACGGAGCTAGCGATACAACAAGCTCATCGAGAATTACATGTCGTCCTTCAATCCTCCAGGAAGAAGTAGTTGCCGGAAGCTGTGACAAGGGATAAGCATGAGGTGGACACGGACTGGACGATCAAGCTTACCCTTCTGCTCACGGTCCTTGACACTGTTCATCTTGTTTACTCGCGGACGGTAATTCGTGGGGTCACGTCGGAAAGTGATCTCCAACGATGCCAGGAATCGATTCATTCCAGACAACAGCGTTTGTGGTCTGAGACAATTGATAAGATGCCATCAATCATGATTCAGCGGTGCGCTTACGGGGTGGCGGTGGCTGAAACTGCAGGCTGGCCCTCGAAGACGATGACACGATCGGCGAGATAGGTGGCCATGATGAAATCGTGCTCGATGACGAACGCCGTCTTTTTGGCATGCAGGATGAATCGCTTGATGACCTTGCTGGCGATAATACGCTGCTCGGAATCCAGGAAAGAACTTGGCTCATCCAAGAGATAAACCGACACATTCGGCTTGCCTGGTCCCGGTAAGTTGACATACGCCCTCGCGAAAGATATACACACCGAGTGCGAGCACGATAGCAACACGCTGCAACTCTCCTCCCGACAACGTCTTCACCTCCTGATCCATCAAGTTCTCCAGATTCATTGGCTTCAGCACATCAGTCTGGAACTGCGGGTGCATGAAAGCAGCCTTGATCTGCTTGAGCAGCAACATCCGCACAGTGCCCGCAAATTTGGGGGAGATCGTCTGCGGCTTGAGCGACACCCGCAGGTCCTGCTTGTCCGTCTCCTCGTCTGGCGTGTCACCAGCCAGCAAGCGCACGAACGTTGTCTTCCCCGTCCCGTTCTCGCCCAACATGACAATGATTTCCGAGTCCGAGAACGAACCGGACTCAACCGTCAGCTTGAAGTTGCCTAGCGTCTTGGTCATCGCAGGGTACGAGTAGTGTTGGGACTTCTCCACGATCAGCTCCTCGGCCGTCTCTACCATTCTGAACGAAAGCGATTCCTCTCGGAATCGCAAGTTTTCGGTCGGGATGAAACCATCCAGGAAGATGTTGATGCCTTCTCGCACGGACGATGGCATCGTCACGACACCGTACATCGAGGGTTTGCCGTACAGACAGCAGATAAAGTCGGATAAGTAGTCCAGCACGGACAGATCGTGCTCGACAGCGACGACATAGCAGTCAGGGTGGAGGAGGGCACGGATGACTTCGGCAGCTCGTAGCCGCTGCTTGATGTCCAGGTAACTAGAGGGCTCGTCGAACATGTATCTGAAGCCAGTCAGTGATTGCGGCGACGGTCAGAAGGCCACATCGACGCACACGTCGGCTTGCTGAACACAGGTCATGGCGATCGCAAATCGCTGCAGCTCTCCACCAGACAACTCCGAGATGTCACGCGTCAGAACCTTGTTCAATTCCAACACATCGCACATCTCAGCCTTGTTATCTCGCTCCATCTTCGAGTCCAACATCTGAGACACCGTCATTTTGCCCTTGATCGCACGAGGGATGTGGTCCACATATTGCGGCTTGATGAGCGCCTTCAAGTTATCCTCGAGGACTTTGGTGAAGTAGTTCTGCAGCTCGGAGCCACGGAAGTATTTGAGGATGTCTTGCCAGTCCGGAGGGTCCTAGTAGCAGCCAGATCAGTGGCAAATTCCACCACAGCAGATGAATCTGCACGCACATCGTACTTTCCGAGATTGGGCTTCAGTTTCCCCGCGAGGATCTTCAGCGCCGTGCTCTTTCCAATACCGTTCGTCCCAACGAGACCCAGAACCTGACCAGGTCGTGGTGTTGGCAGCCGATGTAGCTTGAACGAGTTGGCGGTGTACCGGTGGGTCACTTGGGACTCCAGATTGGTCGGTAGATTGATGATTGTAATGGCTTCGAATGGGCACCTGAAAGATACCATGAGCATCGACAACAGCCCCGAATTCCAGCCCGATCGACGCACTTCTTCACACAGATACCACAACCGATGCACAAAAACTCGGAGATGAAAGCGATTTTATCCGTCGATTTCACTTCAATGCACAGTTTCCCTAGCGAACGCGACATTTGAGTACCCCCACAGAGACGGCCGATTCTGCGGCAGACGACGACGAACCCATTCTCACCACAGGGCACGACTGCGACGGCGTCAATTTTTTGTGATCCAATGAAAATCGGCGCATTTGGAACGCACTTTTTTGCATTCTTGCGCGCATCGCTTAGGTTTGCATCGGTTGGAGTCGACGATAGCAATACGCGTAATCTTGTCGGCCATGATGGAGAGGCCGCAATACGCGACGGTGTAGAGGAAAGCGAGTGCGGCTCCGAATCACGGCAAACAGATGACAACTCAATCTACTCATCGATTCGGGTTTCCATCGCGTCCGCAAAGCCTTGCGGCGGCTCCGCACTCCTTCTAAGTCTCCCAAGCATACAAAAACTCATGCATCCCATCTGTGCGCAGCAAGAAGCACAAAGACTTAGTTCTGGACGCGATTCGAACGGTCGGTTGGACGGTTAACCGGCTGCTGACCAGACTATATTTTGAATTCGTCATCTCCGGCTGTTCTATCACGTTCTTGTCCAATTACTTATGTCTCTCCTCAGAAATGCAGGTGTGTCTCGTGGCTCATACACGCTTTCACGCCCATCCATCTCTTCCTCAAAGGTCTACTGGAGTGCTTTCACATCTCCCGCGCACTCTTCGGGCTCGATTCTTGCGTCGTGGTCTCAGCCAGATACGTACACGAGAGTGGCAGCCAGTTGAAATTGACGAGAGAGATCCTGTTCCCCGCTCTCGGTGCCACCGTTCGCGCTCATCCTATCCTATCTGCACGGGTCAAAGACGAGGATTCGAAACAACCGTATTTCGTCCGCCTGGACTCTGTGGACCTTGCGTCCGTAGTCCGGTTTCTTGATACAGCTGATCTAGAGGTGGCCATACAAGCTCAACTTTCCGCACCGTTCGACACCAGCGCAGAGCTCCCTCTTTGGCGCGTCACTGTTTTGAGTGACAACACTGTACTGTTCGCATACCACCATGGGATAGGAGATGGGCTCAGTGGAGTTGCGTTCCACCACTCACTTTATGCAGCGTTGCAAGCACCGGATCTATCCCCAACGGAAGTTGTCGTTCCCGATGATCTTCCAGTCGTACCTGCGATAGACGTTGCGCTAGACGTTCGCCCGTCTCTTCTCACCATCATTCGCACGGTCATCTCGCTCTTCATCCCGGATTCCTGGCGGACTGCGTACACTGCCTGGACCGCAAACCCTGTCCCCGCTGACCCCGAACTCAGTCCACGTGTCAAGATCTTCGTGCTTCCACCATCCGAAATGGCCGGGTTTTCAAAAGTCTGTCGAGCGAACTGTGCCACCGTAACGTCGGCATTCTATATCCTGGCAGTGGCAATCTTGTCACGCCACATCCCACCCGAATCCACATACAAAACGATCGGTGCTGCAGTCGCAATGTCCCTCCGAGGCCTCACCGACACCCCTGCAGGAGCGATCTGCGACTACGCGACCGGTCAATCGACCTTCCCGCCTGTCGATCCCGCGTTCAAGTGGTCTCGTGCTGCGGAGTACGCCAAAGATCTCCAGGCGGCCCGCGTGAGCGGTAAAGAAAGGATCGGTCTGCTCGCCCTCTTGAGAGGAGACTTGCAGCCGTATTTCCGGGCTCAGCTGGGCAAGAAACGGACGGCCGCCTTCGAGCTCTCGAA